CTGACAGACCACCGGCCGATCACGATCACACTCCATTTTGCATCCGTCGGTCGATGGTGGGTGGATGGCATTCTTGACTTGATAGGCTTCAAGTTGAGGAGTATAGTGGCTGTTCACTACGACGACAGGCATTAGATGATGCACGGTGAAGAGGATACAGGACACACAAACCTTTGAGCATTCCCGCCAGCCATGTCGAACATCTAGGCCGGCCCTGGCCGGGCGATGGCCGCATCATTTCCTCCTCTCCTCCACGGCGCTTGTGTCCGCAAGTCCTCGCCGCCACCGGCCCATGATCAGCTGGGCGCATCAATGTGGTTGCACACGTTCCCTCCTCAGTTATGTCTGGCCCAAGTCTGGCCGATCCTCAGTAGGGTGTGATAGACTGCGGATCCAGGCCAGTGCGGAGCCCTCTGACATGACAGGGTCCTCAAGACGTGATGTGCCACCGACATATTCAAAAGGCACTGCAAGAGTGGACGTAACCTGACACTGTCGCGTTCGGTTTCGGAACATACTATTGTCAGCTTTGAGTTAGTAACTCGTAGCAGATTAGCACACACCTTCGGACCGCAACAGGCTGCTGGTCACGGCTGGCGGATACTAGACTGAATCAACGGTGCAGCGGGCTCGCAACAAACTTATGGAACGTCACAGTATTGGTTCCGTATCTATACACTCTCATTCGGCCAACAGGGAGGTCCGCAGTCGACCCAAGGAATGCGTTGGTCTGAATGAGTGGTGATACAGCGGGCACACGAAGGTTGCTCGCGAGCGCCGGTCAGTCCGTCAGTACTGCCACGTGGGACGCGATCGGGCACTGATCGGGCACCTGAACTTGCGGATATGATGCCAGTGCGGATGCGCTCAATGTTCGAGTGTTCAACTCAAATTCAATTCCAAGTCACTACTCTCCTCCTCATGTGCGGTTGTGTTGGAAATCTCAGCTGTTGTCCCGGCTTTCTCAATCGAACACGCTTCCGTGAATTCGAGTTTCTAGGCTGGAAGTAACCCTGCAGGCAAAAACCGCGGCAGTCTTGTCCCAGGGGCCGACGTTCAACACCGGAGTACGCGTGTATAGATGGAGGGATTCGACTAAGGGGCTTTGTTCCGGTGAGACCAATGTTCCTTCTTCATCTGAGACTGCATTATGACTCCGAATGCTTTCCCCATGGCAAAAGGCCGATCGTACGAATCGCTGGCACGTTAACGCACAAAAGCCCCCACTGCATAAGATAAGTATTGGACGGCGCAGTGTTTCGAACCCATGACATCCGCCTGTCAAAGCTTACTATAATACGACTCGACAAGTTACCCATTCCCTTCACCACCATAGCGCCTTGTGAAAATGGGATATGCGTATGCTGCCAGGACGGGATTTGTCCTACCATGGACGCCCTGAGAGTGGCCGGACACCTCAGTGCGACTCCCCGAAATGCAAGTAGCATGCTGGTCCGCCTGCTGGGCACCGGACTCCAGCCACGGTGTCTCCGAACGATGTCCTCAAGGGCGCGAAAGCAGTGTGTGCAGTGCGTTCCGAGCAGCTCCTGTGCTGTCATATGCTGATTGTCGCTGCGTTAGCCCCCGAAGAAAGGGAAGACAGCTTCCCTGCCGGCCTTCAGTAGGTCACGGTCGTGAGAGTCGTTCTTTGACTACCGCCCTAGGAAGGCTTGCCGCCGGTTCCATCATTCAACCGGCTTCAAACCTTGCTCTGGCGACGGGCTTTGGTTTCTTCAAATGGGATGCACACTGAAGCAATTCTTCATCTCGCTAGACAGAATGGGACTCCATGTACGCCAATGTCCATAGAGAGACTCAATGTGTGTCGAGCATCTGTTAACTTCTCCACCGTTCCAGGTATCGATTACTGCTTGCGCGCGTTCGCGAAGGAAACATCGGGTACCCATGCAGTATTTGTAGCCAGGGGATGACATGACACCTGTCTGCTCATGTGAGTGAGCTAAACAACCCGAACTCAATCTGTAGGCTAGAACGCCGCTCACGCTGAATGATATAAGAAATGCAGGCGCTGTTGTGACTATGCTCAGAGCTGGAAGTCGTGACAGAAAACAATGAGCGCAGAACTTTCGCAGCTGTGGCGCTTGCGCCATATTCACAAACACTATCCAAGTGTTCGCACCATGTAGCTTTTGCCTACATAACCTCGAGGTCAACGATGGAAATGAAGGTATCCCCGCCCCCATTTGTATATCTGCCTTCGCACTTCGGGTCGACAACATGAACACGATGTCTGTGGCCTTACTGGCCCTTGTACTTCTCTTCGTTGCATGCCTCGCGCATCTTTTACCTTACCTCACAGATCCACATGCCCTCCGCTCCTACCCAGGCCCTTGGTTAGCCAAGCTGTCGGACGTATGGCTCGGACGAGTAGCCGCTCAAGGCCACCGCTCTGAGGTTGTCCACCAGCTACACAAGCAGTACGGTGAGAAGTCTTCCCATCGAACCAGACGTCCGAGCTGAACGTGCATCGTCACACAGGGACCTTCGTCCGGTTGGCGCCAAACCACTTGTCCATCTGCGACCCGGATGGGATCCAGGACGTCTACGCGCACGGGAACGGCACGACGAAGTCGGACTTCTACGACGCGTTCGTGTCCATCACGCGCGGGCTCTTCAACACGCGCTCCCGCGCGGACCACACGCGCAAGCGCAAGGTCGTCGCGCACGTCTTCTCGCAGAAGAGTGTGCTCGAGTTCGAGCCGTACACGCGCGTGCACGTCGCCGCGCTCTTCAGGCAGTGGGACCGGTGTGCGGGCGCGGCGCGGAGGGCTTCGAGGGGAAGGAGGGCGAGGCTGGCGACGCGAGGGAGGCCGTGTGTGGATGGATGCTGCCATGGTTCAACTACCTCGCGTTCGACATCATTGGTACGCATTCGCCGTCGACGTCGCTAGGGTAGCCGTATGATGCGTGACCGTCTCCTTCAGGGGACCTAGCCTTCGGGCACCGTTCGGCATGCTCCAAGCCTGCGCAGATACTGCACCGACTGTCCTATCCCAGGAGGCCGCAATGGCGTCATACGGTAGCTCAGGTAAGATTCACCAGAGGTGACCTACTGCCCCGCCGTGCAGATTATAAACGAGCGTGGCGAGTACTCCGCGTCGATCGGCGTGCTGCCACCGCGCTGGCGACCGTGGCTCGTTCGGTTCGTCCCCTGGTACCGCCAGGGGCCACCTCAGTGGAGTTGTTGGCGGGGATGGCGATCGCTGCGATCTCGAAGCGTCTGGCTGCGCCGACGGAGAGGACGGACTTGCTATCGAAGCTGCAGCAGGGGAAGGATGAGGAGGGGAGGCCGTTGGGTGCGAAGGAGCTTACAGCGGACGCCCTGACTCAGCTCATCGCTGGGTCAGATACAACGTCGAAGTGAGTATGTTCTCCTGCTCGAGTCGTTCTCTAGGTGCTCATCACCTCATCTCAAGCTCGTCGTGCGCGATAGCCTATCACCTGGCAGCCAACCCTGACGTCCAGGAGAAGTTACAGCGCGAGCTGGACGCAGCACTCGGCGGCGAGGATGATCCCGTCGTCACGTTCGAGCAAGTCAGACGTCTTCCGTACCTCGATGCGGTGATCAACGAGGGCATGCGAGTCCACTCGACCTCTGGAATCGGTCTGCCCCGCGAGGTGCCTACCGGGGGTTGACGGTGTGCGGGCGGTTCTTCCCCGAAGGCACGGTCCTATCGGTGCCGACTTACACTGTCCACCGAAACGAGGACGTATGGGGAAGCGACGCGGACGTGTTTCGACCTGAACGCTGGCTGGAGCGGGATAAGAACGAGCTCCAGAAGGCCTTCAACCCGTTCTCGTTCGGACCGAGGTGCGTTGCGCTCGTGCGGTGTTGCAGCAATATTTCTGACTGAGCGCTGATGTAGGGGATGTATCGGCCGCAATTTGGCGAGTATGGAACTGTTTATCATCGTAGCTTCCGTATTCCGACGGTACCACTTCGTCTTGGAAGACACTAGCCAAAAGGTACGTGTATCCGGTGATGCGTTGCGATATGGACGGGGCACTCATGCTCTTGATAGTTGGATACCAAGGAGGGTTTCTTGCGGAAGCCTGTCAAGTGCAGGGTGGGGGTCAGGCGCAGAGCAACAGGGATCGGGATGTGACCAGTAAGACTGGTTGAACAAGTCTGACAGCTGCTATCGTTCTAAGTTACATCTAGCAGATTCATGTTGTTGATTGAGCGATCGACCTACCTAACAGTGAGTGCGGTGATGAATAGGAGCATCGAATGATAGACCGTGAAGACCTCGGCCGCGGAGACCCGATATTAGTCGATTCAAGAGGTGATGTACTAACGCAGAGTAGCATAGTAGATACATCTTACTAGGCTTGGCGATGGGGGTCTTTAGACCCGATCGCACATGTTTGCGCCTCCTGATCAAACATACTATGTAACATAGTGTTATACAACCACTGTAGTCCGACTCTTTCCTCCTCCTCAAGTGTGCTCGCGTCCTCCTCCTCCACCATTATTCAGGTGTCGTGGGAAGATTAGATCGCTACTGGCGCGGGCGCTTGGCTCCTCCTGACTATGATCAGGCGTGGCCACCTCGTAACTCAAGTTCAATCGTGCAGTTCTGTACTGTCATCTTCTACACACACTGGCACCTAAAGGCTCTTGAAGTGACCAACGAATCCCGACCGGGAAGATACATGAGCACTGTGTTATCGCCCATCGAAACCCCTACTACTTGTGAGCCAGTAGCACGATTAGCTCAAGCTGTGACGCCGCACAAACCTGTTGCAGCCGCAATCGAACTTTCCTCCAGCAAGACATCAGTGCGCTTACATTCTCAGCGCGCCGAGCTATGCAGCGAAGTAGGCTAGAGATGCATCTGGCAGATATTATGCGTATCACCAGCGCATTGTCTGACGCCAAGACGATAGACCTCTGCTTGCGATGGAAGTTGATTTCCTGGGAAACTTTGTGAGTGGTGGTTCCCTTTGGATGGCTGATTAAACAGCTCTATCTTTTGTGTTCGCAGCATCAAATCACGAGCCGCCCGGATTGAAGTATCGGCATCCCTGAAGCACCCGTCCCCGCTACGTGAGCTGATGAAATAGGAATGCGTACACTCCCTGAACATGCCTCAAAAGACGCGGAAATAAACGCTTCGCTGGAATGATCCTCAATACTTCACAGCGTTCGTCTTGGAGTCAAAGAGCACAGCGGGCGCACGCTGAGACATGGATGCACAGGACACACCTGTACCGTCCGACGTGCGGCGTAAAATAAAGCAGTGCTCTCTGGGAATGACTGGCCGAGTCAAGGCCGAGTGCAGTTCCGAGCATATCGCTACATTGTATTCGATGTTGCGCGGAGTGGAACGTCATTCAGTCTCATGCATCCTCGTAAGATGTTTGACCTATATAGACATTGTCACAGCTAGTTCTCGGAGGAGGACGCCTTTCGTACGACTCAGTTGATTTTGGCCGGCGAATACGAGCATACTCGCAGGCGATTCAAGGTATGATACGCCACTGCTTGAATAGTAATTTGAAGCGGTTCCTGATACTGATGTCAAGGACAGACTCACACCAAGTCATCAATGATTCAGCCAAGCAACACGCCAAAGCTCTCTTTGTCTCTGCTCACGGTCTTTTAGGAGCTACGCCTGAGAGCTATGTCAGCGCTAAGTACTGACACCGAGAAGATTTACTCGACTCCTGATTTGCGGTACGTATCATTATAGTGTGCTTCATTGTATGCATGGTTAGAGATGCAGTTCTGACCCGCTTGTTGCATTCGATAGCTTACCTAGGTCCGTATGCAGCATGATGCCTCCCTCAGGAGCATGGGACTCACGGGCGCCAGTGATTTGATATCGATGCCCCGAAGACTCACTCCTCTCCATTAGTCGCGCTTCTTCTGTGAACGGGTGAATTGTATGGCATCCAGTGGTGATGACAGCGGCGTCGCTCTCCGAGGCCGCCGGGAGTCGCATCTCCGCTCAGAGCCTGTCGGGCACCCTTCGTGCATCATACCATCATACGCGCAATCAATGTTGGACAGTCGGATGGTCATTGCAGTGTGGCTCCGCCACGGCGATGCGTTCAGCTGGGCGCCAGCATCTCGTTGGCATCCCGAACCCTTACGGAACGGCGCTTCGTGCGCAAAGTTGGTTATAAGCGATGCAATGAAGCAACGGGAAATACTTCCTGGCGCTCCCAAGCCCCCGCGACGGCGATAAAATGTCCGTCTCTATCAGCGACATCGATTCATTGGAAGTATCCAAGTACCTTGCAGGCGAGGCACTTATTCGATGTTCCTGTGCTCCGTTGTCTGACGTCGTGATAGCACAGGTGCAGGAGTAACACTTGTTCTCTATGATCACCTCCTCAACTTACCGAGGGAGATCCAATACGTGTGGCAAGAACCGCCTCTCTTTCTGGCAATATGCGTGCTCGCCGACGTATATCTTAGGGAAGCCGGTCTCATGTATATTGCAGTCGGTGTGTCACACTTGTCTTGAGCTGTTCTGCGACGTGCTCAAGTACCTTGAACAGTATTGAGCGGGGTTGCTCCTATGGATAGGCATGTGAGTGTCGTTGCAGATTTTGAGAGTGGTCACTTATGTATACGCCGTTGAAATATCAGAAGTGAGACCTAAGGACGTACACGTCGCCTCGGATCCGCCCACTGACACCGGCGATCATGACAGGTGTGCTTCCTTCACCGTTTTCGCTGTCGTTTATGGTCTTTTCAGTAATGCATCAGTCCATTGTGAGTGAAGTTTGACGTTATTCTTGACTGCACTCACCGTTGTTCGGAAGCTTACATTCTCTTTCGATTGTACCGAATCTGGGACGACCGAAAGTTTGTCAAATATGTCCTTGGTGTAGCCTTCGTGATATGTATGGCTGGAACCGTATCTGACGGCTACGTCTTGAAGCAGCTCACCGGTATAGCAAGACAAATATGCTCAATGTGGATAGCTAACGAGTAAATACTCTTTTAGCGGAAGTGCAATACGTGCAGTTTCATGCCATAAATCAGGCCGCGACATGCGTATTCCCTAAGAAGTCTTGGTATCTTGTAGGCTCTTGGGCAGGCATGGTGAGTACTGGGATAATGGACAAACACATCCTAATCCTTTCACAGGTCGCATTCGATTTGATTGCACTTGCCATGGTCACCCTGAGCTCCCTGATGACCCCGCGTAGACCCAACACTGCCATTGTCGGTGTTCTATACAAACAGGGGTTCCTTACATTTTTGGTGCGTTAAAACGGAGTCCTTCGTTTTGCAAAATGCATAATCAAATTATGTCTAGGCGTTTCTGCGTAGGGTCCGTTCTACTTGTCTAGCAATTCATTGACCACCGTTCCCAGTTCTACGACTATCAAGATTACTGCCAACCATATTCGGATCGGTGAGCTTTTCGCGCCCACGCGCAGCATCAGTAACTGATGGATGTCCAGGCTGCGGACACGTTACTCATGCCACCGTGAGTAGTCCTATTCGCTTCGGCACTACATGCGCTATACACATGACTATCACTCAGGGTTACGTGGGCGCTAGACGGCGTTCTTAGCTTCCGACTCTTTCTGAAGATCAAGCAGGTCGAGCACAGTTCGAGGCGACACTGGTCAAAGTACGACGCGGGCCCGCGAACACGAGGCAACGGGAGTCTTGGTTCACAACCGACCATCCTTGTGTTCGAGGAGATCGAGATGGACAATAAATAGATGTCGGTGAACACTCGACGGAAAGACACGACGTTGGCACCACTACTAGCATTACTTATCTATCTGAGATGTATGACACCGTTGATGTAGCACCAAATCGGCGCACGGCTGAATACTGTATTATTGCTTTCAGTCAGTACTAGTATACTCTGCGTATTAGCGTACTTATCATGGGATGAGGAGCTGATGTACGGACCTATCATGACACCTTTGAACTGGCGGGGTAACAGAATGATGGGAGCGGGACCCTGAAACTGAGGGCATCCTGTTTGCAATGCTTCTTGACAGAACCATACACACGTTACCCATGGATGTGAGAACGTGACTGGCCGATACCCGTAGGAGAGAAATGTATGACGCGCTTACAGACCGGACGCGAAGTCCATGGGGATATCATGCCTGCGGAGAAGCCGCATCGTGACATGTGCCGGCCTATCGAACCGCCTGCACCTGAGAGCTTGGAGTTCTGCTTATCAAGTTACCTACTGCTGGGGCTACGGCGGGTCTAGTCTGCCGTACGATCAGTACGAAGTGCTAGCTTGCTCGGTAGATGCGCCGCCCAAGGTACAGTGAGCACTGCAGGAGACTAATAGCTATACATAGTGATGTGAACGAACGGAACACGGAATACACATGCTTTGTGATCGCTCTCACCCGGATCCTAGCTAACCACAGCCATATAGCATCATCTTAAATGCGATGTCGGCGACGGCGTAGTAGGCAGGTCGCAACACATCGGCCGCTGTAATCATTAATCTATGCCCGGGGTGTCTGAAATCCGATACGTGATCTTTTCCGCGTGGACCTCATCGCACAGATGTCAGAATACGGCTGAACTCGGAGACGAGACAGTGAACGCTCATTACCTTCCCTGCTCCCATGTATTCAAACCCGTCATGGACGCTTTGCAGTCCGTTAGGGAACACTTTGACTGGAACGGGCTTGAGCTTCCCTTTCGCCAGGAGTGCTGAGATTAACTTCGCGTATTCCATGGCACTTTGACGATGCTCCTCTACAGCAGGATATGCGAAGGGGAAGGTCAACTCCTGTGCAAACGTGGAGATCTGAATAGGGATGTACTCGTGTCAAGGAGACGGCTGCTGCACTGACCTTCCCCAGAATAGTGTAAGCGAGAACCAGGTGCGTCTGAACACCTTTCGACCTGCTGACATAGGGCAGCAGAGTCGCAATGGTGCCGCCCTCCTTGCTCAGCGACGTGCTGACTTGGTTCGGCGTTCTATCTTGACTGAAACAGTCCATGGCGTGCCGAAGGGAACCGCGGGTACTGGCGAATATCTTCCTCGGGGTCTGAGAGTTGGCGTAGTCGTACACTTCGTCTGCCCCGAGAGCCTTGACGAGTTCGAAGTGCTTCGGCGACGCCGTCGCGATAACTCGCATACCACTCAGCTTCGCAAATTGAACGGCATACTGTCCGGTCGCAGAGGTGCCGGACCATATAAGCACGGAGCTCGACTCTTCAACGGGATGGTCGGGCGTAGGAAGTTTGAGACAATCGTAAAGGGCAAGACATGCTGTGAAGCATGCTACGCCAAGTTGTGCGCCGTCTTCGAAAGACACTGAATCAGGGAGAGCGATGGCCAGGGCGGCTTGCATGACAACATATTCAGCAAATGCGCCGTTGGGAGCTATCCCTGGTATGCAAGCGGGAGATCAGGTTCCCGTTATACTACCGAGTACAGGCCAATACTCACCTCCCTGTACGCATCCAGCGACGCGTTCGCCTACGTGTCTCAACGTATCAGGAACCTCCGGTCCGAGCTCAACTACTGTGCCCGCGAAGTCACAGCCAAGTATATTGTTAGGCTTCTTGTGCAAAAGGGCGGTCTTCCCTGATTGTTAATCAGCAAAGTTGTGAATACGTCGGTTAAGGAAGAATTTTCATTACAGTCCACAGGGTTTTGAGCACTCGCGGTAATTTTGACCAAGATCTCACCCGCCGAAGCCTGAGGTATGGGTACGTCCTTCAGTGTGAATTGCCCGTTTTCCAAGGTCACGATCGCCTTCATGGTCTTGCCCCGGGAGTACGCTGTCATTGAAAGCAGCTCGAAATCAACTTAGAGACGAAGGCAGATACTGATGGCCTTGGATGTTCATCGCAGGAATGAATGTCACCACAATAGAGTTGCCGCTACTGGAGCGCCAGTGGAACCGCATTATGGCGGTGATAGTACTCGGTCACGGTGATACCGAGCTCGGGCTTGTCTGTGACAGGACTCGGAGCCTGAGGGCGCTTCAACATACACATTATTATGACTTCCATGATTACAGAGAACCATTCACTCACGTTCAACTTGGAGTAAGTCCTACCATATCTACTAGTAGTACTACTGTATCAAGTTACTGCAGTGGCCCTACAACCACTGACCAGAGCACATCGCGACTGAGATCTGAGATCCAGAGGCGCTTAAGCCCCGACACGCGCCTGCCACCAGTGCCTCTTTGAGTCTTTCGACAACCGTCTTCTACAGTTCTACTTCGACTCGAACTGATTATTCCTGCCGCTCGGACGATATCAGCAGGATCGAACAGACAGGCCCTCAGATAGTAAATGCCGAGAATCGTAACCTTGGTGGTATCCCGCGTGCGTTACGATTCGGACTGAAGGCTTGAGCTCTTGTCACGTTTCAACTTGAACGCGCCGGCGTTGTGGACGACTCGATGATTGCACCGTTCCGTGTAATATGTAGTATGTTGTGAGCCTTTTTGCATGTTGCCCTATATAACTCATCGTGCATCGCAACAGTCATTATGCTGCAAGGGTCGAAATGGCTTATCCGAACCCCTCACTCGGAGGACTCGGCTTTCTCATCCCTCAACATAGACATATTGAAGATTGCCGTGATGTGAGCTATGCAGTGTGATCCGTTCATCTGCACTGATGCGACTTGGTGGATAAGGTTGAGAGGCGGAGCTACAAGCACATATATAGACTTGGGCAATCAAATGCAACAGAAGCTCTTCCGGACCCTGTCGTGTCTGTTCAGGCACGCGCCAGCATCAGAGTATATAGAAGCATAATCATCAAATCACAACTTGCACTTACCCATGACTTCAATCGCCATAGTGAGTCGGTCTGCCTTCGTTCCTTGCTTCGTATTCATGGGGCTCGCAGGTTGGCGTCTCAGTGGAGCTTCCCAGTGGGAAGTATTCGCCGAAGAATCTTGACCATGACACCTTCTTCAAGCTCTTGCTTGATAGGGCTGATGCATATGAACGCATGCCAGCGGAACGTTTCAATGCAAATGCGTACGTGTCATGTCATTGAATGTGCGACTTGAGCTCACTCGATGTCACCACCACGCAGATGGCTCGGAAACCATCTCGGAGCGATTCATGTTGATACGGGTGCCTTCCTGAAGGACATCAACATGTTCGACAATGTCGAGTTTGGAGTGTCAACTAGGGATGCACGTAGCATGGCTCCAGCAACAAGAAGACTCCTTGAGAACGCCTTCCTCGCTTTGCTCGACTCTGGCATTGATTATCGATCGCGGAACGTTGGCTGCTTTGCGTCAGCGACAGGATTCGACTTGTCGACCGTATCTGAACCGGCACGTCATGCTCATGTTCACGTGGATTTCATATTGACCCTTTCTCAGGATGAATACGACGAACGGGGTTCGTTTGCGGGATATCCGTCCATGGTAGCCAATCGGATTTCTACCCATCTCGATCTGCTCGGCCCATCTGTTCCGACCGATACGGCATGCAGCTCAACTTTAACCGCGTTCCATCTCGCGGTCCAGGCCATCTCACAGGGAGACTGCGAGGCTGCCGTTGTGGCTGGATGTCAGTTGAACCATCGGTGTGTAGTCCCAACCGACGTCCTGACACGTTGCTTAAACCGCCACAGCTTCATCGACTGGTTCACGTACAGTCAAGGTTCTCTCCTTGCCAAAGACGGGAAGTGCAAACCCTTCGATACATCTGCGGACGGGTATGTCGTGTTCCAATGCTCTTATCGCTCGTACTCAGAGTGTCTTCGCAGCTTCTCTAGGGGAGAAGGTTGTATAGCTATAGTGCTCAAACCACTTGAGCGTGCTCTCCAAGATCACGATCGCGTCTATGCCACGGTATGACTCTAGTCACGCATGCCTTATCCCGCCCTCATGTAACGAATAGGTTTTGGGCACATCGCTCAATTCGTCAGGAGGTGCTGCCCCTCCGGGCGCTCCAGTTGCGGACGCGCAGCGCGCGGCGATGATGCGAGCGTTTGCGCAGGCGAACAGGAATTTCAAAGATGTAGATTACGTTGAATTGCATGCAACCGGTGCGCACAGTCGTTACTCGGACCGAGCTGTCCACTAAATAGCACTACAGGTACAGCGAAAGGAGATCCTACGGAGGCGAACTGGGTCGGCGCGGAATGTTCGCGTGAAGACGAGCTGCTCATCGGCAGCGTCAAGAGCAACATTGGGCAAGTCTACATATTTTGTGTGGTACTACCTGGCAAAATCGAACTAACAGTGAACGCCAGACATACCGAAATTGTGGCTTTCCTGGCATCGTTGTGCAAAGTGATATCGATCTTCAAGACTGGGACCATACCTCCGGCTGTGAACCTGCGTACGCTGAACCCTGCAATCGAGTGGGAGAAGCACAAGCTTCGCGTTCCTTTGTGCGCCACGCAACTTCCATGCCGGAATGGGAAGAGACCGCTAGTGTCTATAGCCAGTTCAGGCATCGGCGGGTCGAACGGCCACGCTGTCTTGGAAGGACCTCCCCCAGCACCTACACTCGACGGTTCGGCAGTATCTGGTCCGGTGGTCTTGATGGCATGCGGACTCTCCTCGCGTAGCGCCACTTCCATAGGACAGTCGCTGCAAAGCTCGGCACTTGTGGATTTGCGTGCGCTATCAACGGCGTTAGGCCGACGTGCTAAGCAGATGTCCTGGAGGTCCTATGCTATCGTTGAGGAGGGCTCCAAAGGCGCCATCACATTCTCTGCCCCTCAGCATTGCCAGCGAACAAAACCTCTCGTCGTGTTTTTGTTCTCGGGTCAAGGCCCACAACACCCGGATAGTACGTTCATCGTATCCACTTAATCCCATGCCAGAACTCTGACGGTATCGTGCAGTGGGTCGCGAACTCTTCGACAGATTCCCTGTCTTCAGGGATAGTGTTCTCGAAATGGATGTTATTTTCGAGCGGCTGACGGGAAAGTCGATTATCAGGGACCACGGTCTCTTTTCGGGGACGTCCTGCGTTGCGGATGGAACCTGGCCAATTTCACTCATTCTGCCTTCCATCGCTGTATTTCAAATGGCGCTCTTTGACTTGCTCATACACCTGGGAGTTAGACCCGACGTTGTTCTCGGACACTCTGCCGGTGAAACGTCGGTTCTCTACGCCTCAGGCGCAGCTCCGAAGGCGATGGCCGTAGAGCTAGCGATCCTGCGAGGACGAACATTCTCATCAATGGAAGATCTGGGCGGTACAATGGCGGCTGTGTCGTGTATGCCGGAAGAGGCCGAGCTGCTCCTAAATCAAGTTCGCCGGGAAGACGACAGGAGCATCATTGACATAGCCTGCTACAATTCTCCGTCTGCGGTTGCCATCTCTGGGCATGCAGTAGCAATAGATCGGTTCTTGGAGCTAGCACTCGTCGGTGGCTACTTCTGTCGCAAAATCAGGACCCGAGTACCAATCCATTCGTCCATGATGGACCGGTGTCGCGACGAATATGTCCAGGCGCTTCGTGACCTGTTCGGCCGCTACCCAGGCTGTCATGTACCGAGCGTTACGACATATTCTACATTGACTGGCGCTCGGTTTGAAGGCCCCTACGACGCCGAATACTTCTGGAAGAACACGCGGAACCCTGTCCTGTTCACACACACAATCCAGGAGCTTGCTCGTGCGCATTCCACGACAACCATTGAGATCTCTCCACATCCTGTTTTGTCGTCCTACATCTCGCAGATCACCCAAGGCGCCAGTGCGGTCTTCCCGTCGACCCACAGACGGAAGCAAGGCCGTCCATCTACGGAACATCGCGATCTGTTGGAACTATGCGGACAACTTACTTCCGCGGGTCACAATAGTGTCAACTTCACGGTGCTCAATGGACGCGCGTGTTACGAGTTGAGCACTCCGTTGCCGGAGTATCCCTTTTTACGAAAAGCATTTCCTCTATACCCCGATACTTCCGGGTGTGTGAAGCAAATGCAGCCACACAACGGACCGCTGAATCATGATTACCTCAAAGTGAATAAGGATACACATCCGACGCTGGCGGAGCATGTCATCAGAGGAGAGCCAATCATGCCTGCTGCCGGTTTTATTGAGATGGTCTGTGAACATCGGTGCTATGACCGTTCGTGCTGCTGATCTGGTTTTTATCCCAGGCACTGGAATATGGGGCTACGACCTTGATGAATGTGGACATGCGAAGCATCCTGTCCTTGTCGTCCGAGAGGCCCATGAAGGTTGATATCTCCCGCGATGGCTTCCTTTGGGCTGTGAAGACTTCGATTTCGTCCAGTCATGCCGCTTCGGCGCCGGTACGTCGTTTCCGCAGGCTCTGCGAGGTGTTGCATGCGATTCATGTATCCTGTACCAGACCGAACGGACACACGCGAGCGGATACCTGTCATTTGAACCACCGACGCCCCAGACTCCGTTAGACATTCCCGCCATACGTCAACGATGCGAAGGGTATACTGGATCCTGTGAGTAAGTGCTGCTGGCAACCGCATGTATCACGGCTGAGAAGGCGATCATAGCGTTCTATCATTCACTTGCGTACTTCTCTGCGTACGGTGCGTGCTTCCGTAGAGTCACGGAAGTCTTTTATGGCTATCACGAGGCCTTGGTATCGATCAAGGGTATGGACGATGCGTTAGAGCGGTATGCTGCTGTTCTTTCCCCAGTATCAATGCCGCCGCTGAACATATGTTAGTGATGGACGTTATTTGCTGCATCCGGCCATTCTGGACGCCTGCCTGCACATCACCTCTTATAGGCCATTTCATGGGGACCATGGCCCGAACAACTACTACTTGCCCGCGCACGTCGACGCTGTCATTCTTCATTGCCCTCCTCGGGCTCACTTCTTCCCCGAGCATATCTATACGCACACCGTTCTGAAGAAATGGACACCTTGTCAGTACTGCCCGCTTCTATATGATGATCCTAAATGACGAACAGTTTGCATCAGCGTCCGTGTTCTATGATATCATCATTGCGGATGATGCTGGCACACCCTTATGCACGTTAGAAGGACTCGAGGTTGCGAAACATCAATTTAACCCACCACCAGAAGATCTGATACCATATGATGTCGGGCTACAACGATCTGTCCTACCTTTGCTGTCGGATACTAGAGACAAAGTCAATGGGCACAAGCTTGATCAATTTAACGGGAATGCAGCCTCCACTAAGGTTCGTACCTTACGTGACCTCTATATCTCCGCACTGAGTTTTGCAGCAGCAGCACGAGGATCAATGCGCAGATGCCGTGATTGACCACATCAGTGCATTACGGGAAGTTATAGAGCAGGTCTCAAGACAGAGCGGCAGAAGTGTTGTTCGCCTCCTCGCCCTCGGGACTGGTGCGTCCTACGAGCATCGAACCTATGTTAAGGCGAGCTGACCGTGCGGCCAGAGTTCCCACGTACCGACCATTTCACCCACTTACTCGATGGATTCCCTCTGCTCTTATTTGATATCTCCGTGCAACCTGGTCTGCGAGCTTCCCAGGACGTGAGCCCACGGCGAGGAACTGTCAGGACCTCAAACATCGATCTTGCCAACCTTGGGAGCAATCACCCTGCGTACTTCGATATCATATCTACGTTCCTTCCCGAGGGCGATCCGTATGTCGCGCAGCTGAGCCGTATACTCGTCCCTGGTGGTTTATTGGTCCTCACGACGCGGTCAGACCTACCGGTTGTGAACGGTCACAAGGCGCATGGGATCGAACGACTTTCTCAAGCGCTACATGATGCGGGATTAACAATTCGGCGAACGCTGATCGCACCAGGTGGATCATCTCCGACCTTTACCGCTTGGTGCCAAAGGACCGAGAGTTCCGCAGACGGCGTACCGGCACCACCTGTGTTCGATCCCGACGAAGCGTTCGTATTCCACTATGCCCAAGGGCATGAGATGGACCTGCAGTGGGACTTCAGTGGTCTGGACCCTGTGGACGCCTTGGACGTTTGGGTTCTCGTCGCCGAAGGTCGTGATGGGGGTGCCGCACTCGGGCTTGTCCGGGCTCTGCGACTGGAGTATCTGTCATGGACAATCCACGTCGTTGTGTTCCCCCCTGACTCTTCTTATGGCGACGAGGCCTCGCGAGAAGAGTATCTGCAAACGATCCCAGCGCACATGCGCGAGGAGCTGGATATATTCGTGACTCAGGAAGGCGGTGTTTTAGTTCCTAGAATGATGCCTCTGCCTGAGCGGACTGCTCCAGGTGGGCAGATAGCTGACCAGATGGATCCTGGCGTGGAATGCGAAGGCAGCATCCTTCTCGAGGTGCAGGGCGTATCTGGTAGCGCTGTAGTCAAGGGTGTTCTCGGGTTGGAAATGAACAGAAGCAACTCGTGGACAAGCACAAACCCCAACAATGGACCCGTCGTCGCCATTGCCCAAGGTCCAGTGGGAAAGTATGTCACCGTTCGCAGAGAGGCCACTTCCCGCCTCTCTCCGCGTTTGAATCGACATTCGACCATGATAATGCAGTGCATACCAAGCGTCGTAGCTGGCATCCTTGCGCAAGGCACGCACACGTTCTCCAACGACAAGAGGTGCCGAGGTCTCCGAGTGCTCGTCACGCATTCAGATACCGCCACCGGCATGACAGTCATCTGGATGTACCGCAGGCAGGGCATAACTGTTGTCGGGCTTCCGGTGGACGCGACGCCCCTGCATCTGTCCTCCGCTCTTCGCAGTGGATTCAACCTGGTCGTGTCCGGATACACGGATCCTTCTTATATTCAACTCCTCAGGTCTGCGTCGTGCCCGAAAGGCGGGAAGATGTATTTCTGGGACGACCCGCACGAGGGATTAGCTTGGGCACTGCGGAACGACCTGTGGTCAGTACAGGATGCACTAGAGCTCGCGCTCACCTTCCTAGAGGAGCGTACGGATGACTTGGAGGAGAGTCTGCGTAGTTGTCCAGCTGAGCATCATAGCGTGCTTCGAGTGCCTGACATCGCCATAGCGACCGTTGAGCCGCGGACGGCAACCTTCAGCCCGCACAAGACCTACCTCGTCCTGGGTGGCATCGGGAACCTGGGGGCGCACGTCGCCTGGATGTTATACAGAGTGAGTGTCATCCCGATGGGTTCGACGCATGCTCACCTCATCCCAGCACGGCGCTCGACGCCTCGTAGTCACGTCCCGTCGGGGCGCAGCCAGCCTGCAGACGACGTCCAACCGTCTCGTCCGGCGCACATTCGAGTACCTGCGGTCCCTCCCTGACCTAGACCTGCGTCTCTCAGCAACCAACGCTTCCGACATCGAGAGTATGGCTGAGCTGCTCCGCGGGATCCCAGAGGAGGCACCGCTTGCGGGGTGCATAGTCCTCACGGCCGCACTGTCCGACCGAACGTTTGCACGGCTCGAGGAGGCAGACTTCGCAAGCGTGTACGAGTCGAAGATTGGTGTGGTTGACACGCTCCGTGAGTGCGTCGATGTCGGGGCATTGGAGTTCCTCGTCCCGTTCTCATCCGTGGCGGGCCTCTTTGGAAATGGAGGGCAGACGAACTACTGCGCGTGAGTGGCTACAATAGGGTAACAAAAACTGATCAGGACTGACAAGTATGATGTTAGAGCCAACACGGAGATGGAGGAGCAGGTCTCTGCGTATCCGAACGCATTCGCCTTCGTCTGTCCGGGGATCATCGACTCCACGATGATGCGCTCGAGCGAACTGGGCGAGTCAGGCAAAGTCGCACAGCTTGAGCAGTTCGCCCAGTGGGGCATCACGGCGGAAGGTGCGTCCACACATCTGCATATCGCGCCCGACGTCACTCATGGCTCAAACTTACACAGACATGATCCTGTGGCTGGAAGACGCCCTCGCTCGCTTCCAAGCCGGCGAGCGGTTCGCGCGGTATGTACCGACAGTCGACTGGTACGCGCTCGAGCGCACGCGGGGCATGCCCCTTCTCGGACGACACCTCCTATCTACGTCCGCTGACGCGGGTATGGGCTCGTCAGCCGTTGGCCCCGGGGTGAATGGTGTGGGGGCGGCAGACGAGGGAGGCGACGTGGGCATACGGATGGCGGCGATCGTACGCGGGGTGCTGGGCGTCGCCGCGGAGGACTTCTCGCCGGAGACGCCGTTCACGGCGTATGGCGTCGACTCGCTGTCCGCAGCGCGGCTCGCATTCATGCTGCGCCCGTTGGTGGAGGTGACGCAGCTGCAGCTGTTGGCGGACATGTCGTTGGAAGGGCTGGAGGTGCTTGCGGGGAAGGGGAAGAAGGAGGAAGGGGTATAGCGAAGTGGGGGCGTGCGTTGCAGAGCTGTTTCTTAATCTGTGAGTACATTCGGGTGACTGGCGAGACTGGCAACCTCAAATTATCGTCTTTCTAGCCCACCATTGTTTCTACACTTGACCCCAAGCATCTGTGGATCTGAAGGCCAGAATATTGTACTATTTAGCTGTGGAGGCTTTTTGTAAAACCCGCCGAACTGCCGCTTGCTCGAATTCTCTGCTGTGCATCTCGAATCTGCTACTAGTGCTAGGGGAACCGTTCTTCGCGCGACCGCGGCACACACTGACATCATGATGCAGCAGGCAGTGCAGGGTATATTCAATGAGGCCATCGGCGCTACGTATGACAGACTTGGCTGGTCGGTCGGGCAACTGCATCGAGGAGCGGTCCGTGATGCCGCATCTGTGAGTGGCCAAATGTGCAAGAAACTCGGTGCAGCCTCGCTATACCATCAAGCCCATCATCATCTGGCGGGCGCAGAGACGTTGCACGCAAAATTCAAGTTGGAGCAACAGCGAAACAGGGTGCACGTAGCCAGACGGGATTGGACATGTTGCGGCACCTTGACGCCGACGCGGGCTCCGCAGCGCACGCATATGTATTTCTCGTTGCTCAGGTCATGGAGACGCCCGCAGTGCAGTAGCACATACGCACGGACCTCGAAATCTGCGCGGTGGATTGCCAGCAGCGGTCGCCTTGTCGTTCTCCGCCCGACTCACGTTGTCAATGTACATATGCCGCATGACCTGGCATGGCACTATACGGAGGTAAAGAGCGCCCTGCTCGTCTTCCCTTCGTGATCAGAGCATGTCGGCTTGCCGTAACATTGCACCCTGCATACTCCCACCATCACGGGCTACGGACTGTATTCCTGGGGTTGCCGCTCTGGTACGTGCGTTTTATTCCTGGCCGATAGAGTTGTTGATACCGAGAAGCTGCGTTCTTCTCACGTAGGCAGGCGCCCCTGTTCGCTACACTGGGCTGGCATAACATACCTGCGTGTCGCCGTAGCGTCTGATGAGGCCCCTCTGGCACGACGTGCCCTCCTTGCTGTACGCACCCCTGAAACACTCCCGCCAAAGCTCATACATAACCAAGACGTGCGGCGACGGCCGCTCTGTGATTATCGTGGCGCGCGCACTTCACGCGAATCATGTCCGACACGTCTACGAATGCGCAAGCCGAAGAGGCACCCAAAGTCGAGTATCCGCCTCCCGAGTCACCCGTCGCCGAGAAGCTTGTCCCGGCACCAACAATCACTATACCCGACGGTGGCCTCCAGGCTTGGCTCTCCGTCCTCGGAGGGTGCGTGTAACGTGCTCCTTAGACCGCTGTCTTCAGTTGACCGTCGTACTCAGCTTCCTCGTTTGTACTACAACCTTTGGGTACTCCAACTCATTCGGAGTCTACCAGGACTACTATGTGCTTTCTGGCGCGTCATCCTCGTCGAACATAAGTTGGATCGGGTCAATACAGGTGCGCCGCAGTTACTCTGCTATCCAAAGTCAAGAGCTGACTGTATGCCAGTTATTCTTCATGTTCGCGATGGGCCTCCCCGCCGGTAAGCTATTCGACCAGGGCTACTTCCACCACGTTCTCGGATTCGGCAGTCTCCTCTACGTCTTCTGGTGGGTCTCCTCCTTCGCATCGCCTCCCAACACTTTCGATCCATTCTTTGCTTGATCGACATGCTCATAAAACAACGCGCCTCGCCGACAGCATGTTCATGCTCTCCCTCGCGCACCCGCAGAAGTACTACCAGCTCGTCCTCTCCCAGGGGATCGGCATGGGCATCGGGAGTGGCCTCATGCTCGTCCCCGCTATGTCCGTCCAGGCGCACCACTGGCGCACCCGCCGCTCGCTCGCGATGGGAATTGTCATGATGGGTCAGTCTTCCCCTCTATCTAGCATACGTTTACACCTGCACGCCCACTTCATCGTACACTCGCGCTTGACAGCCACTGACACAACCTCTTTCAATCTATCCTGTAGGCTCGGGAATCGGCGGCCTCATCTACCCAATCATGCTCAACAGGCTCGTGCACGGCAGCGCGGGGTTCGCGTGGGGTGTCCGCGCGACGGCGTTCCTCACCCTCGGCCTTCTCGTGATCGCCAACGCCGTTATGACGACCCGCCTCCCGAGCGCGAAGAAGCGCGGACCAGGGCCGAAGCCAGACATGAAGGCGATCATGACGGACGTGCCATTCTTAGTGCTCGTGTTTGGGTGCGTGGTTTTGAGGCGCGGTTCGTAGCGGGTGGAACACTAACGAGTAGATGAGACAGGCTGTTCTTGGTGCTATGGGGGATGTTCTTCCCGTGTGAGTGCGTTCTGTCGTTCGGCGGGAATGTGAAGCGCGGTGAGTTGACAGATCCGTGCGATTCTTCCAGACTTCTACCTCCAACTTTGGGTGAACCTGCACGGGCTGTCCTCGACGCTCGCGTTCTACACGGTACGTCAACCATCCTCCGTCCCACCGCACCTGCCCAGATCCCTCCTCACCCAGATTGCCATCCTCAACGCGGCGTCTATCTTTGGGCGGACGCTCCCGAACATGCTCGCAGACCGCATCGGGCCCTTCAACGTGCTCGTGCCCGTCGCGGCGATCACCGCCGCGCTCGTCCTGGCCATGTTCGGCGTGAAATCGACGGGGGCGGTCGTAGTCTTCTCAATCCTCTACGGGTTCTTCTCCGGCGCGAGTGCGTAATTCCGTTCCGCCGACCTGTCCCCGAGGCTGACAGCGGATGCGTCGTGGAACAGCGATAGCACTGATGCCGCCGGCGGTGGCGACGCTGTCGAACAGCGTGCATGAAATCGGGTGCGTCGAGCGCATGGCTGGGTCGGCGTATAGCGTACACTGACCTGTCACGCTGTTAGGATGCGCCTCGGGCTCGCGTACTTTTTCACCTCGCTCGCGATGCTGACCGGGACGCCGATCGCCGGCGCGCTCTACGACGAGGCAGGGCAGTGGTACAAGCCAATCGTGTTCAGCGCGGTGAGTACGGTCGTCCAGTTGGTGTCTGTTATCGCGCGCTCCTCTCCTTCGTTGGCGCATGCTGGGTCCTCGTTCTTCTCGCGTCTCGCTACTTAGATGCGCGAGTCCCGCGGCAGGATGACGTGCGATGGGGGCTCGTGCGGGGCGGTGCTCGTTACGGGCAAGGCAGAGTGCTGACGCGCTCCCAATTTTTGTGGCAGGTCGTCATCTTCGCGGGCGCGGCGTTCATTTTGCAGGCGCGGACGATTGTATCGCGCAAGAAGGGCTCGCAGCACGTATGAATCGTACTACGCCTCTCGGTGCTCTGAATTCCGGTCCTCGGATATCATACCATACCATACCGTGATTTGGCCGTGCGGACTTCAATGATCCACTTGAGTACTTATTTGCGTTCTATTGATGTCTTCTCGTACTGCCAATACCGTTGCTGCGGTCGTGTTTGTTTCCCTCGTTGCTTGATCTAGTACCGCGTCCTCGCAGCGCATCTATATATTGGAGGCGACGGACGGCCCGGGCTCTCTTACAGGTATTTGCATGTTCCGAAATTTCTTGGGATGTTGCGTAGCCTACCGGCACCCATCGGGCTATGTGAGTGATTCCATGCAATCTAGGCCGGTTGTTGCGACCCATTGCTGATATCTGTATTGTCAGACTACTGCGCCCCGGCCCCGGAACACCCGAGTGATGTAGGGCTCAGAGCAAAATGCTACGCCGCTGTGTCAGGACCCCGTTTGCTGAAGATGCATAGGACATTGGTATGCCAGCCAACCGAGATCCAAGCTAGATGAGGGTTGCCAGAAGTATAAGCTTCGAAGTTGAACAGTCCGTCGTTGTGATTGGGAGTAATGCTGTATCTCATAATTGAGCTTACACAGTTTCAAGACTCCTCTATGCGCTAGGACGATGAAGGTGAGTCCGATCTTGTGTGTCGTTGTGCAATTCATGACTGACATATTGGTATGTCCTAATATGCATTCGCGACGATGAGCCACTGAACAAATGTCCGTGACACAGAGTATAGGCACGGGCACTGGCAGCGACGAGTTCACGCAACACGTTGGCATCACAATCAAGGTTGGCGTTACTACGAAACAGTTGAATGACTCCGACGGTACGCTACAGCTTACGGCGCGGTTCCAAGTAGGCGAGCATCGGAGGTGGCACAGACCGTGTTGTCAGATCCATGCAGTCATCGTACTAGGCTAAGACGATACATTTTTCCAATGTGTTCGGGAGAGTTCTAGGTAGGTATAGTATGCGTGACCTATCTATTTTGGGCGACTGATCACTGTTTTCAGGTAGCGATGCGTGGATGCCGTAAAGCGCTCGAGTTCCGTGAAGCCGCGGGTGTACGCGAGCTCATGGCGGGTCGTGGCGATGCTCGTCGAGCATAGATGTAGACCGCAGACTGTCTTTTGTGCCGAGAATCAGGCTCTGCAAGTTTGGGTTCCAGATTACCGCACGAGCTCCAGAGATGGACCCTTACATCTCTGGACAGCACAGGATACCTATTCTGGCGCCGGTGAAGAGCTTTGGATCAAGAGCGTGACGACTTGTAGATATATAAGCACCTCGTTCACCGCTGCACCGTGCTTGTACAGCTATGTTGTCGGACGAATCTGCTCCGGTGCTTGGGGATCTCGACACAGGGTGAGTCACAAACTTGTACTTTCGAGCGATTGATAGTGAAAGTACTGGTGATAGATTTGTACACCAATGCTGCGAAGTAGCAGCATGCGGTGAGTTCAAATACCCGTTAACATATTGTGTGAGTGTTGTTCTTGACCTTGATGTACAGCCATCTATACGTATGACCGCTTCCTCACTCTCGAGCGGGAGGTGGACATGATATGGCGGCGCCGGAGCATGTCGGTAGCGACTGGTTTATACCTCTTGATCCATATGTCTACGGCAGTGCTCTTGTATTCACAGATAGTCATTCAAGGTGTCTCAGCATGTGAGGTAAAGCTACGCTCTTACTGTGCATGGTATGGATTCTGACTTTGGCTCAGAGGTAGTAGATTGACCGCCAGGTTCGGTCTCGAGATGCACCACTTACCCGAAGATTACAGCGGTTACATCCTCGTAGTTGCGCAGTCATGTGCTGCAGCATTGTTCCATTTTGCCATTAGTGGTGCGTACTGTATTAGTCCGTACTTACCAACATGATCTCACAGCTGCGCCCTATAGGTTTCACGGCGCTACGCGCCTACGCCATCAGCGGCCGCTCTGTGCTACTAGCGTTCGCCATTTTCACGTTCTATCTGGTGTTTGTTGCGATACACATAGTAAGTGTGTTTGTTACCACCTGCTGAAATGACCGCTGAGGTGTCATCATTAGTACGAGATTTCCACGATAGTCGTTGTTGCCGTGCCCGATCCTGTTGGCTGTGTAATTTTTATGGGCGGCAAAGGCTCCATGTACGTCAATATGTTATTCTTTTCGATTGTTGAGCTCTCATGAAACAGTACACATTGCAGACCATGTACGACAACACCTCAACTTTCCTGTGATAGAGCTAAGCTAACGAATAATAACACTTTGCCTGTACCCAGCACTCTTCATAGGGGAAGCATCTTCCATCATTGCTGAGGCGTTGCTGATAGCCGCGACCTGGCACCATGTATACGCGGTCAATCTTGCTCACGAAGAGCATATTGAGACCCCAATAACAACAGTACTCCTCAGAGATGGTGAGGAAAATTGATCAGAATAGCTTTGCATCTAACTGCTTTCCTGCGTGTTTCAGGCACTGTATACTTCATGTGAGTTCGCACCATGCCTGGCACGGATTTACCACACGGCTCATCTGACTCAGAGCTGTTCTCGCTCTCCTGATATCTACTACCGTGCTGAGCGCGACTACTCGTGTGGGTGCTACGAAACTCATCAACAGACCACTGCAGTCCACTGACAGAACCTCCCCAGAACATTACTTATTTTCTCGTACCAATCCTTTACGCGTGCGTTTACAGTCGAAGACACGGTCACCCCTAATCGCAGATATGTCACAGGCTCCAAACAACCCTCATGACGCACTTCTACCTCCACCTGCATGAAGCAGTTTCGGTCGACACTGGCATACCTTCCGACACATCACAGGTATCCGATATCCGTTTCACGCGTGTGGTAGGGAGTCTCGCGGGCTCGCTTTCCTACGGTACATACAGTTCTGTGGGGCTTGGCGGTGTGGATGCGGGAAGCGACCTCGATGAGTCTGGATGAGGAGCGAGTGGATGAGGAAGAAAACAGATGTCGAGCATTCGGCGGGGTGGCGGTGGAGAACCCGAGAACAGTGCCTTTACACCTGATACGGACTCTTTCTTTGCAGAGGGCTCGGGAGGATCTGAAAGTCGAGGTTGTCTTGGTGTGACTTCCGTACTTAGCGTCACGTTGCCCAGTGATCCTAGTGGTTGAATCTTGGTGTGGATTTTTATGGACTATGGACTATGAACCTATTGCACATCATTGTCGTCGATCTGCTAAGTACCCGAAACTCAAGTGCATCCTGCACGAAGGCAAGTGATATGTCCAACACCACTTGCTGGGGTGGTAGTTCATACCTACATACGATATTACTATCGTCGATACGTCAGGCCTGTGAGGTGCTGCGAATTACTCCCATATGATTGAAACGTAGCTCGCTCTGTAACAATCATGGGCATCCGACGACGCATCAGTGACTTGTAACAAGACTCATTCGGAAGCAGCCGCCTCTCGCATCCACTCCGCTATCTGCTTGAACACATTCGTCCTCTCTGGTTCTTGCCATGCAGCTACCACGCAATCATGGGCCGCATCCGGCTCCTCGATATACCGCACTTTCTCCTCTCCCATATCTGCCTTCAGCCTGTCCTTCAGAGTGCGCATCGCGTCGACTGTCTGCTCCGCGCCGCCAGCGACGATGCACATCCGCGGCAAACCAGCGAACGTGCCCGGAGAGTGCTTGAACCCGAGCGAGCCAGGCGAAATGTAGATGCCCGCCGTGACGGTCTCCTCCGGCAGGTTTCCGGCGAGTGCCCGCAGCGTGTACCCGCTCTCGAAAATGGTATACACGTAGTCTGAGAGTCGATTTCTATTCATGGACGATCCGGGGGCCATAGAACGTGGAAGGGTCCAGTCTACCGATGGTGACACGAGCAACACGCCACCCGCGTTGCCCAGCCTGACCTGTTTCGCGGTCGTATCCGATGGTGTAGCTTTGGAGAGCACGAGTTGGTCTTGGTATGTGTGGAGGTAGTACGCAAGTGCGAAAGCCAAACTACCTCCCGCGGAGTCGCCACTGATAAGGATGTTGTCCGGCATGAACCCCACATCCTCGACCAAGTAACGGAAACCAGCGATAGCGTCCACCAAACAGGCGGGGTATGGATTGGCGGGCGGAAATGGTGCTGCGGAAGCAAGGCGATACTCGGGCGCAAAGATGCGGATGTCGCTTTGAAAATGCGTATGGAAGCCTTCAAAGCATAGCATGAGATGCGTATTCGACGCCCCTCCACTGGCCATCTGTTGGGTCCCAGTCAGCCGAAAGGAAACGACTGATATAAGGGATTTATACGTACGACGTAGGCTCCACCTTTCACAAGGTCAATGAAGCAGTGAGCGCATGTCCAGAGAACTCGGAGTTCATGTGCACAGAGACTCACCATGCAAATGATAGATGACCTTCTCGCCTTTGGCTGCTTTCTGCCCGACCTCGCCGTCAGTCCCACGAGGACCGTACCAGAACCCGCCCGTCCGGACGGCTTCCACATGATTCTTCTCGGCCATTTGTAGGATCTCGCCAACGACTAGGTCCGGCGCAGCCTCCACCCATACAAACCCTGTCGCTTCAGCTGTTTCGGAGGACTCCTGCAGGGACGGGCTTCGCATGACTTCGGTGGCGTACATGAAGTCGAGGTAGGCTTCGAATAGCTTGACGATGATGACCCGTCCGAGTGTCCATGACGTACGTGGACGCCAAGAGGGAATGAGGTTCGTGGCAACCCAGAACGGGAGGCGGATGAACACGGAAGCAACGGTCTTGGTCAGGTAGAGGGCTTTGAGAGGCTGGTGGCGAAATGCGAACGGCGGCATAGTGATTGTCGTTTTTGACCAGAGGGCATCAGCTTATATGTCCGCTAGTTCCATTAGCACGCGTTCCTCCCGTTGTCTGATCAAGTATGATTTGAAACCTGTATACAGATCACTATCAGCGCGAGAAGACGTACACAACGCATATGGACGTGCTGACCGGAGTTAGCTAGCACGGTGACGCTACGGGTTCCTCGTTGACAACCGGCGAAAATTGCGTACGAGAGTATGACGGGCGTATTCATCGTTGTCGTACGGGTACTCTACTGATACAACTCTTCTGCTAGTGACAGTCAGAGAGAATCCTACGTCAATTATACTCATAATCGTCCGTCCTACTTTACAGCTCCTCCGACCGAGCCGCAGACCTCTCTACGTCTGCGGTAATGGTACGTTACTCGCTCTGCTCTTCAAGGCTGCTAAAGTCACCTTCACCAGAGGAAGACGTAAGGGCGGATCGGACAGCGTCACCACCTTGTATATCAGCTCCATGCCTTTCTTGATATCCTGCTCTCCCGGCAGAGGATCTGACACCGCGAATACGACGCGGGCAATGTTACCAGGCAGGTCGAGCTTGGTGTACGCTGATTGGGGTTCCACGATGACTGCATTTTTGCGCATGGATGTGTCAAAATGAATAGCCTAGATGAGGGTGATCTACCAGAACACTGAAACAACAGTTAACAATTGCATGCGGCATCGTCGTGACAGGCCCACCTTGATATATCCCAATCCGAATACTTACAGTTCTTGAGCCATGAACTCTGACAATCCTTCCAGCACCTTAACTGACGTGTATTCGGTCTCTCGTAAGGCTCCGTCCAGATAACCAGTAGTATGAAGAGCCATTATGCTCGGGGATTCCGGGCTTCTCAGATCTCAGTGCTCGGGCGGCGGCGCCGCCCACAGGGCGCTGATCGAGATGAAAGACTCCTAAGCTGTTCGGGCTGCCCATGGGGAGAAGACTGCGACGCCAGCAGACATCACTGGTAGTCCGCGCCCTCGGATGTTCCTGTATAGCACCAACTAGTCGTCTGGTATGTTCATTGCCACTTACTAGGAGCCCGCTACAACCTCGGGCGATGGCAGCGTGGTACTTGTGCAAGAGGTAATGATAGGTCGACACGCGTCGCGGACGCGAGCCAGGGACAGGCGCTGGCAGTGTGGCGTAATATCAGCACTTGACACGTGATTGGCAGGATGGTGGCGCGCGCGTTAAGCGTCGCTTGTTTCTTGTTTGCTTTACTTCAATACTGGGGGCTGCTCAATTCTAAAAAGCGATTTGAATCGCTATTTGGATCGCAATCCGTCAGCGCTTGGCGCACGCAAGCGAGGCGGCGTCCGAGCTCGCCGGGCTTCGCTGAGCCCGAACCTCGCACCGACACAGCGGGTCGGCCCCAGGGCCCCGCGGTGGCGAACGTTTCCCACGCCCAACCGCGACTTGTCGTCGCGCCGTGCAGGGAGTACTACTACTAGTCACACTACGTAACGCAGCCTCGAGCCATCCCATCCCGCTGTAAATTAGATGTCAGATATCTCTATGGTTTTGGAAAGTGTGTGACTGCGCTCTCGGTGTTTCCAAAAAAGATTAACAAAATAGTAATCATGGAGGGATTCGAACTCACGCATTGCACGACGTGATAACCGCTGCACCAAAGCAACTATATTTGCTGCTCAATGGCATCATATAAGACTACCATACAACTAGGGCGCGCCATCTACACATCCTGCCAGACAGGATTTCTACACGGCTACCCAGTAACCCATGACAAAATTGTTGTCAATACCTCCTATGTGAAACACACCACCTTGCAAGTAAGTGAAGCACACAGTGACTGCAGTGTGAACGTCGCACCACAGTGGCCACTTGAATTCCCTTTTATGGACTGCATCAGGTGACTTTCCACTCGAGCATTGCAAGTCCACTGCATGCTTGGGCAGAGCGAATGCTCCCGTCTATTACTTCCCTCACTCAGTGTCTGTACAGTATAGAGAAGCATTCCGAATCATTTGCTGAATTATGATGCCAGAAGCAAATGAACATGGCACCACACAAGCCAGATGTCCCCAAGCTATGTGGTACTCTTATATGATGCCATTGAGCAGCAAATATAGTTGCTTTGGTGCAGCGGTTATTACGTCGTGCAATGCGTGAGTTCGAATCCCTCCATGATTACTATTTTGTTAATCTTTTTTGGAAACACCGAGAGCGCAGTCACACACTTTCCAAAACCATAGAGATATCTGACATCTAATTTACAGCGGGATGGGATGGCTCGAGGCTGCGTTACGTAGTGTGACTAGTAGTAGTACTATCAGTGGCCCTGCAATGCAATCGCGACAGTAATGCAATTACTCAACTCCCATTTCATCCGTCCCGTTAAATATTCTGGGATTTTTGTACAATGTTCTTTACTTCGTACTCAATGTTTATGTGCACTTTGATGAATTGAATGTGTAGCGCATTTGAGGAGAAGAAATCGATGAATGCCTTCCGCGCCTCAATAATCGCACTGGTACAGTCTCGGCTGACCGCATCCCTTGGGCGCTTCGTCTGTGGGTCTCAAAAGTGCATTGAACTACCATATAATATGTTCCTCATATTTTTCCGAAGCCTTTCGTCTCTTGTTGCGACTTCTGAGCAGGAAAGACGTCTGAGCGGTGGTCAGAGCGTGACGGAAAGCCACCCAAGATCAGCAATCTCAACTCCGCTCCTTATCAGTTACCATATGCGGTTACGATCGCAGCAGTTGCACTACTGTTGCTCGCCCGCTGGACAAGGCATTGCACGCATTACTGGCCATGCCACCCTCCATTTGACACGCGGGGGAGCTACTAACTACTGGAGAAAGATAGAACTCGTGAAATGAGGGAGGACCGGTGTATAGTATCTCCTGAGTCGAAGTAGTCGACTCGTTATGGCTTTCAACATTATGACTTACTATACTGTAAGGGATGCCGGTCCTCTGAGTATCATTACAATAATATAGATACATCCACAGCCTCTCCAGCAACTGAAAAAGGTGTTTGGGATAGCACAAGGTGGCATGAACATGTTGGTTGCATTGCTGTATCGCCGTGCAGCCACAATAGCCACAGTCGGCAACACTCGGCAACACTCGGCAGTGTGACAGGAACTGTGACGAGCCTCGGAGAAGAGTTGCATTACTGTTCCAATCCTTGCTCCCTCTCGGCATCCCTCTCATACTCCCTGGACAAGGCCTGTAAAATCATACACCATATATTCAGACCTCAGGAATCCGTCAGTGCAAACTCCGAGAGCTTCCGGTGAGCGGTTCGTCCTGCAGAGAGGAAAAAGCGCGAAAATTGCACTTCTGGTACAGTGATAGTACTCCCTGCACGGCGCGACGACAAGTCGCGGTTGGGCGTGGGAAACGTTCGCCACCGCGGGGCCCTGGGGCCGACCCGCTGTGTCGGTGCGAGGTTCGGGCTCAGCGAAGCCCGGCGAGCTCGGACGCCGCCTCGCTTGCGTGCGCCAAGCGCTGACGGATTGCGATCCAAATAGCGATTCAAATCGCTTTTTAGAATTGAGCAGCCCCCTGGCTAGGCTCACCAGAGCAGAGTTGCGGCCTGCCAGAGCGATTCATAATACCTCACAGTAGGCTGATAACTCCTCCTTTCTTCAAATTGTAACGTTCTGGGGGTTCCTAACGACACGCATCAAACACGCATCGACAGAACTTGACAACCACTGGAACCCGGAAATGGGCCCGGGATTGCGTCTTGACAATGACATATTCAAGCTGGCTTTCCACTCACTGTCTCCGGCGTGGCCTGTGTACATGCGTCCCGGTCGCAGCACCCTCTCGAGATGCGCCCGATCTCTGTCCACCGTCCTGTGACTGCGCCACCCTAAGTTACGAAGATTAGGTCGTGTCGCACTGTGTCTGATGGACAACTGCGTATGGCCCCATCAATCCTCCCGCTTCGCTCCGCGGGTTCTCCTGAGACTTGGTACCGATCACCATTAACATGCAAGCTTCAATCATAATGAGGTGAGCCGTATAGTCTCTCGATACAACAGCTCATTAAACATTCTATTATGGAAATTACCAGGCAACCGGAGGGCATTCACGCTTCCCCCCCGTATTCAAATGGAAACAGCGCACCGAACGTGTCGATCCTTCCCCTGGAGTAGTGCGACGAACGTCCATTTGCCTGACAGGTCTAGGGCCTCGACTGTGTGTGCGCAGCGACGTGGGCGTGCGGCGTTGTCTGAGGTCTCCGTGGTACCCACCAGGTACGTCGCGATAGAAGTATGTACTTTCATAGTCCACATTCCTGACGAGCGTGACACCCGCATTTATCATACGTTGAGATCGTACGCTGAACCATCTGGCAGGATCTTCTGTGACTCAACCCCTTTGACTACAGCACATCAGCGGCCGCATCGCTATGCATCAGATTGGACTATGCACAACCCTTACGTGTTGCAACTCGCGTACACGACCATGGTGCTTCCATACCAGGCCGGCTACGTATAGCTGGTCAAGTACGAGTCGAATCTATATAAATAGCGTCCTACACAACACGAACAGGTATACGCAGAAGAATCAAGTCCCAAGCGAAACTGTAAATAGGTCAAGCTCCGCCCTCAAACCGTCACCTTGCCCGTGATCAAGTCTGCCGCACGCTCCGCGAGCGCGATGACGACCGCACATGTATGCCCCGATACTTGCGCCGGAAACACAGACGCATCGACGACGCGCAAGCCCTCCACGCCGTGCACCCGAAGTTTGGGGTCCACCGCGCTAGTAAACGGGTCGGTTCCCATCCTCACCGTGCACGTCTGCATTCAATTGCAAGGAAGCGAGAACGTGCATGGGTTAGCAGTCGCTTACGAAACTTTCAGCAAGGGACGTACCGGGTGCCACGCACTCTGGGCATTACGCCGGAGGAGTGTCTCCAGTTCTTCGTCGGTCACCTACAACGCGAAGTCAAGGTGGATGCGCGCCTATGCCTGTGAGGCGACGCACCGTGTCTGGATCAACGTTGCTTGCCCAGTAATGGTCGATCCCCTCCTTCGCAGGCGCAATCGGCTGGAAGCACGACGCAAGCGGCTCCGTCTTCGCAAGCTTGAGGCTGAGGCGCATGCCTTTGATCAGCACTTGCACGTCATTCTTAGATGCCAGGTATCTAGCGCGCGGGGACGTCAGAACGGGCCTTGCACGGCGGAGAAAGTTATGTTGACGTACTGCGCATCAATTAGCGGCTTGTCCCAGATGGACGATGACTGCAGCGTGATCGAGCCGTTGCTCTCTGGATGCAGCAGGATCGCACCCTAGGTGAAGCGGTGTCAGAGCTACGATGCGGAAAGAGAGCAGGCGGCACGCACAACGGTGACGCCCTCGACGTCGGAGGGGGGTACGAGAAACCCGGTGTTGACACGAATAACCGTCATCGGGCAGAACACGATCTCGATGTCGGGCGCGCCGGGCCCAGAGCTGCCTGACACAGTGGGCGTCGGCACGCTGCCCTTCTGCGCATACGGCAGGCTACCGCGAGGCATCAGCAATAACCCTCAATGACTACAAGACGGGAACGAACCTTTCGTCGTCCGAGCGCACGAAGATCGCTGCCTCCGTGGGTGGTATGGACATCGGGCCTCCACCCGTAATGAGCCACCGGACGAGGGCCAAGATTGCGTTTGCCGGACGATTGAGCCAGTCGAGCGTCATGCTCTGGCGCGCCCTGAAGAGCATCGAGCCCGAGTTGACATGCTACACCCCACAGTTAGCCATACCTCACACGTATTCATATCCTCTCACGTACCTCGCTCAGATGTTGCCCAATGTCTGGTGCGTCGTGGACGACCTTGACACCCCGCGCGCGGAGGTGCTCGGCGGGGCCGATGCCGGAGACCATGAGCAACTGTGGGGAGGCGATGGCGCCCGCGCAGAGGATGACCTCGCGCGTCGCGCCAACGCCGAACTGCGGGCCACCGCGCTGAATGGCAAGCCGGACGCCTGTAGCGCGTGGGGGTGCCCCGGCGTTGGCGTCGGTAAAGAGGATCTGTTCGACGACTGCGCGGACGGCGACGGTCAGGTTGGGCCGCTGCAGGACGGAGGGCGGCAGGAACGCTGCTGCTGCGGAGCTGCCTGGGGAGTGGAGATCTCAGCTACATGAACTAGGAGTTTGGGGAAAGAGGGACGTACGTTCACCCTTTTCGTCGATGAAGGTCATGAATGGGCCAGCCCCAATCGTGCCCTCGGATGTCGTGAGATCCCTGCAGCGCGAGTCAGCAGCCAATCAGTCACAGGAGAGACGGCACGTACCGCCTGCGCGGAATACCAATGCGCTCTGCTGCTTCGATGAACTTCGTCGAGATTGTCTGCATTGCAGCACAGTCATTCAGTGAGCAGGTTAGAAAGTCTAAAAGGTCTTACCGTGATCGGGAAGCTATGGACTTTCCAAAGCCCAGACTGTCCGTGCACCGACGCGTCGACGGGGGCACTCGGATCCGAGACAACCGTCTCTGATTTGTCGAAGTATCTGTGGGACAGTTAAAGTAATGTCAACGGACGTTGGTGAAGCCCACTGTAGGATGGCGCGTGACGCACCTCCGCATGGTCTCGTATCCCCATCCTTCGCCCCCGAGCCTCACCCAGTTGTCGAAGTCTATGCGTATGTCAGCAAATTGCGTTCCCACTACACAACCAATCCCACAACGTCAGGGCCTCCCAGGAGCGCATCAAACAGGAAGATGTTCGCATGTGGTCACGTGATCGCGTGTTGGAACCCTCCGTCCGTGCGTAGGAGGCGGGTAATGGTGCCTGTCGTCTGCTAGCACTGGCCCTCGAAAGCCCGCTGTTGGGCATGATACTGCATGGACCCAATCGACTCACCTTCCGGAGCGGATCTGTGGTAGACCAGCGCATTCAATCCGCTACCGAGGATCGTGAGAACTGAGCGCGAATGTCATGCGTTGCACGCACCTTGTCCCTCCCAACATCCTGCCCCTCGCCCATGATAGAGAACGACCTTCGAGGTTGGGCTGCGACCTGCGAACGCGCGATGAGCATCCCGGCAAGACAACGAACAGAACGATCTTACGTGGTCTCGTAGTCCCAGTCACATTCGCTCTGGAGCAACTTGGAAAACCCGAGGGGTATACGACTCATTAGCTGGCTTTCATGACTGCACGATTTGCGACATGAGGAGACTCGTCGTGTCAGACACAAACACACGCTGCTCACCTCGGGCCTGCCTCCAATACAAGCACGGTGACGTTCGGGTCCTCCGACAACCTAGAGGCGAGGACGCAACCGGCCGTGCCTAAAAGGACATTGTCATCGTTTGGCGCGAAAGTAAGCCTCACATCAAGACTACGTGCCTCCACCAATGATGACATAGTCATACGACTTCCAGTGCGATTGCGGTCTATTGTTAGGAGCGCCCGCAGGCAACGGGGTGGCGTAGACCTCTGGCTGGTCAACTGTTTTCGAAGACGAGAGACCCATGACAGCAGGTTGGCGACGACCAGGTAGTAACGAAGCAGGCAGCAGAATCTTGTCGTGTTCAATGCGCACGATTAGACCGATGACCGACCGCCAATTGAGTTACTCTAGTAGAGCCGTTCAAAGACAAAGGTCCGGACGCTGGTGATACAGCAGATAGGCCGACGCAGACAGAACAGGTCACAGTAACAAGCAGTTGGGGCGTTCGAACTTGAGTTGGATTGTGAGTGGCGACTCGGAAGCAGGAATCATTGCAGATCTGCCCATTACTGCCAGTGTCAGTCAGTCAACCTGACAGAATCAGTGTTCCAGGTGTGCTGGCGAGCGTTCCGCCGCAGAGCGTTGCACCTTCCATCATGATCACACTCTCTCCGATCCGATCTCGGAGCGATGAAGATATCCGTGTTCGGCAGCGTTGTGGCCCGGTTGTGGCGGCATGTCGCATGGACCGGACTCATCATGCATCATGCATGGACATGGACAGCTCGTCGACGAAATCAGATCCGGAGGACACAGCAGGGGCTAGTAGCAGATGACGGAGACCGTGGACAGCGCAACAACTTACAGCCTAAGCAAGCCTGAGGATGTGATGCGATGTACTACTGCCTTGCACTTGCGAGGTGGAGGCGCACCGCTTTTGCAGACCGTCCGCATGGAGAAATGGAAGCCGTGATTGAGAGGGGTCGAACGTGATGATCAGCTTGACTTCGAATGAACTTCGAACATGTGCATGAAAAAGGCAAGTCCGCTGTCTCATTTGTAGCCTCAAGGCTTATCCAAAGAAAGGGGGCTCCGCGACCGCTGTGACTGCTCTCGTATGTATGGACATGTTCTAGTCAAATGGCTAATCGGCACATGTGGAGCGTGTACTAGTATCCCTGAGTTTCAATAGTTGGATAGTGAACAGGAAACAATACTGCAGCGTTGGGAGCACACTTGGATCACACTGGCACTGACTCGGGGATGTCATAGGTGACATGACCATCGCTTCGTGCTTACAGGCTTTATTGTTGCTCTCGTCGAATCCATATCAGCCTGGTTGCCTCGTCCGTGCGATCACAGACAGACAAGGCACGACGCGTGACGCATGCCGCTGCAAGAAATAATCACACAAGTGCCTTAATATTTACCTGAACGGTACTAGTCTCTCTCACTGGTCCCCGAGCCCGCAGCCCGAACTTGAATGTAACCGGCGGCATCACGCTAGCCTGTAGACCGACTCCCTCGACTTCTCGGAGACGTCGCGGTCAATTCGGGCACTGGACTTCTCCCGATATGAATCTGCTACTACGTAGGCATCAAACTTCGTGATCATGAACGCCGCCATGACAGCCGGAACTGATCAGGAACTGGGATCTCTGGCGATCGCGGAGGAGAAGGAAGCTCGGAGCGTGTGGTGGGTGCGTCCACAGGGATGAGTAAATACGCGACCAGTCTTTCCGCTGATCAGACAGAATGCCAGTGGTGCGCATGCGCAGTGAGCGCTAAGTATTACGATCAACGCATACTTGATAGAAACGTGTTTCGAATGGGACTTCTCGCTACAATATTGGCGGTGCGAGCTAGTTATAACATCCTGTCAAGTTCCTCTACTTAGCGCACTGTGAGCTCGCGCGTTCGCTGCGCACCTCTTCCGACTCGCGCGCAAATGTTCCAGTCAAATGCATCAGCAGCCATTCACAGAAATCAGTCGCATCTGCGAAATCTTTCGAGCGTGAATCGAACATCTGTCAAGGGACTCACGCGGTTCAACGTTCGCCGCTAGTCCACACGGGCCTCCGGAGGTCAAAAGGAGGTCGCCTAGCACCGAACCTTAGCGGGATTCAGTTCAATACTATATGGTAACATAAATTAACTAGATGTCTTATCGAACTCAGTACCAGCCGGTCTCAACTAGACCAAGTCTACATCAGGCATGCAGACCGATCGTAGCAATGAGCTGTTCCATCGCCTTCGACCTTGGCTTGATCTTGCAGCGGAATTCCGGGGGTCGACTGTGGGTCATATGAGCACCGGTTCGCTCACCGGCAAAGATGGATGAAAACTGCCGGGCAACACACCTAATGAGGCTGCCCGAGTATTCCGTGCTGTCGTCGCCGGTTTGCCGTCCGTAGTGACCGCGTCTGAGATGTTGAAGGCTGCGAGGACGGTCGCGACGAGGATAAAGAGCGTGTCATCTGCAATGATCTTACCGGGGCACGCCCTGTAGCACGCCGTGCGCATTAGCACTCGCACGAGAGAAGCGTATCTGGATCAACGACGCGCACCTGCGTCCGTACCCGAATGCGAACGTGCGAGGGTCGGGGTTCAATACTTCCGTTTCAGTCTCAGCTTCGCCTTTCTGAAGCTTCTTCTCTGCCGGCTTGAGGTATCGCTCCGGCAACGGCAGATGGGGATCCGGGTATAGAGACGCGTCGTGCATGATTGCCCTGCAATTAGTTAGACCTGGGTCGCAAGTATGAGCCTACGAAACCTTCTCACCAGGTATTCGCGATAATCGTCGCGCCGTTCGGTATCGTGTAACCGTCGTACTCGTCGTCTTCCATCACGCTGTGCGGTACACCTAGTATACACGCGTGGGTACATGAGCACTGGTCAGATGCAGGTCAACTGAGACGCACCGAGCGGCCCAACGGGGTTCCAGCGGTAGATTTCCTTCACTAGTGCCTCCGTGTACGGTAGGTCCTTGCGGTCGCTGCACCTCGGGAGACGTCCAGACCCGAGAACCGCGTCCAGCTCAGCCTGCGCACGCCGCTGCAGGTCAGGGAAGAGCGCCACGAGGAAGAAAAAGGATTCGATCGTTGCAATCGACTGAGATTACCACGCGCGTCAGAAGGGCTGTAGACTTGACTCGAAAGAACGAAGACACACCGTTTCGGCACCAGCTAGGAGTTGATAGAAGGCGGTCAGAACGAGACAGCGCAGATCCCGTTCCTACTCACCAGCCTGCAGATGACTTGTCGTCATTCGCTGCACATCTTCCTCCTCCGGGGTAGGGTTAGGGTTACGCGTAATCACTGTCGTGGTGAACGAGGGAGGGGCGACGCCACGGTCCTGCACGCGAGCCGGTTAGCAGGAGTGCTACAGAGACTTCGAAGTGCACGTACCACTTGATCCATGATCATGTCATACGGCTCGTCGCGACTCTGCAAGAGGTTCGCGCGCGCACGTCTCGCAAGTCTCTTGAAGCCGGTGCCAGGGACCCAGTCGGGGACGTATCGCACTGCAGGACAGGCGCGTTAGCGCGCAGCTACCTACTCGGGATCCCAAGGTGCACTAACGGAAAGGCAGGAGATCGACGAGGAACGCGCTGCCCGGCGCAGTCACCTCTGCGAACTCGTGGTTGATCTGTTCAACCACCTGCGCGAGCGGGTCGGCGAGATTGGCCATGTCGTAGCCGTGCGTGATCTTCCAGACGACGCTCATTGCGAACCTGAGGGCAGTGAGCGACGCTGTGATGACGCGCGGCGCGGAGACGTACCACCGGATATGCGTGAGGAACTTGTCGGGTTCGTTCAAGAGCCTGAGGAGGAGCAGTTGGGCTTGACCTTCCTGGAGAGCGTTTATCTCCGGAAGAATCCGAGGCGAAATGAGCGACGAGATGATCTTCCTGCTGTCCTTCAGTCGATCGCCGTACCGACACATTACTGTGAACTCCGCATAACCTATCCTACGCGGAGCGAATGAACATGAGCAGACTGAACCAAGACCAACATAACAGAACGGACAACTCACATCTCCCCGGCGAGGACACTCCGCGGCCGATCAGAGTATATAGCACTCCGTTTCTCGAGCAGGTCGAACACGGCCTTCCGCGAGTTCAAGATGACAATGGAACGACCAAAGGCGGAGAAGTGCATGACGTCGCCTACGTCTGTGTGAGTATACACATGCTAGGGTAGACATGGTGTACGCACCGTATGTCTTCGCCATTTCCACGAAGGTGAGCCATGCTCGCTCGACTGGTATCTGGAGGGCGTTGCCGATAACAGGCAAGCCAGTCGGCCCAGGCGGGAGGCGTTTGCGAGAGTGCCGACTATTCCATAGCTTCAAGGAAAGGAATGGGATGAGAATGAGTGCTATTAGGAGGACGAGGAAGGAATGTAGTGGCCCTTCAAGGTGCGTCATGGCTTCGCGCTTGCTAAGTTGCTCGCAGAGCAGGCGCGGAGCAAGCGGAAGATTATATCATAATGGATCATCAGAGCCTACAATGATTTGAAGCCCCGCCATGAACGGACGGAATTGGGTCGCTGCCAGGAAGGCCGCCCGACACCGGTGCTGTCGCCACTGAAAGTGGGGATCTGGTTTTAGATGCCATCAAAGAACCAGGCGCGCGTATGGATGACGGGGCACTGGTCAGATCTGGGTCAGATCCTCAGATTTCGAGTCACTCCAGGTCACTCCAAGCACACTGCTCTACGGCAACTCTATGGTTTAGCGGCCTTTAGCCGTGTCACGGGCAGACTCTGGAGTCAGACAGTGCTAGAAAGCACGCCACTGGCATTGGGAAACCCAAGGGTCAACTGAATGTTCAGACCTGAAACATTTTTATTCTGCAGCCATTTGCATTCGACGGCGGGTGCAGGTAAGCACCGTCGGAGAACCCCGAATCCGCAGGAGACAAACGGTAGTGTGTGGTGGACGTCGAACAGAAGTCTACTGTCTCTGAGGGAGATCTAGACATCCCACTTCGTAGTAGGTAACCGTCGTATGTTTGTGTCAGTGATACGACCCCCTCCTACTCCTCCTAATCCGGCCTTGGCTCTTCTCAGATCGTTGTGGAGGACGTGATGCATGATGAGTCTCGGCGTTCGACTCGACCATCCACACCGCGCGTCGACCGCGCGCTCGCAGTAGTCTGCGGAACATGTATCAAGAGGTCACGATCATCCTTCGCAGCCCATCTCGGAGGTCGGCGTCCGAGCCTCGCGGCGCACTGCTACTAATCTATCTTGACAGGATGATCAGAGATGGAAACACACGTTTGTGCGCTGCGAAGGTTGTGCGCTGCCCTCGCGCGTTGCTTGCGCTGGTGAGGTTCCTTCATCAATCTGGGTATACCTTTTCTTCTCTTAGATCAAGCCACAGCATAGCGGGGAGGGACGATAGGAGTGATCGGCGCGTGCGTTACGAGCCACTGCATTGACAGATAGCGCAGAAAAATAGTGGATACCGTGTTGCTGCTACCTTGATTCCGCGTGAGTGACCGGAGCCATAAATAAGCCAGCATCACTCGGGTACATGTTCGACATTCGTCACCCGATGCTGCACACCGACTCTGCGGCTCTGCGGCACGAGCTCATCGACACCCCAGCCGTCCTGGCTGCCGGGAGCCTCGCCCTGTCGGCGTTCATGTCGTGCCTGTTATTCGACACGCTGGACTGGAGACCTGTGAGTCGAGCTTCAAGTTGCGCATATGATATCTGTCGCGGCGTTCTCACCAACCTCGCCAGATTTTAATCTGTATACTGTCAGATTACATCGCGATCGGGCTGGACCACTACCTTGAACTCGTCGACATCGCTAGCACGCGTGGCACTGTTGGCCACACCACGATCGTCTTCCAGGTCGCTAAAGCGTTGCTCGTCATCTCAACACTCCTTCTTTCCGCTGTACTTTTCTTCTGTCCTCCGAGGACATGGCTCGTCGTTGCAGTATGCTTCGGACCAGCATTTGTGTGGGATATCGACGTCTCCTACTACGTGAAGGCGTTTCTTCCCGGCGGCAAGTCCGCCCGTGGGGTTGGCTGCGAGGAAGACAACGTGAAGCCGGCTGCCCAGAAGGTATGGAGCGTCAAGCGAATACCTGGGCTTAAAGCGCTGCTCATTGGTGTCATCCGAGTGTAAGTGTTCTTCTATCGTCTTTTGTATTTGATGACTGACTGCGTCACTCCAGGTATGGGACATATGCAATTGTGTCCTCCTGCTCCAACTCGAGGGCTCTCGCAACCAACGCTCACTTCGTCCGTTGGGTACCCTGGCAGTTCTTCTTGTGGTCTGTCGTTGACCGGACATGTCACGCTGTACGATCCTTCCTGTCAGACTGCACGTCGTACTAATCTGACCACTATATCATTTCTGTGCACAGGTCATGGAAGACGTCCGAGACTATCCAGACGACTTGAAGAGCGGAGTACCCACAATCCCCGTTCTTTTGCGTTCCATACCGAAGTCGAAATTGGTGCTCTCTGTCGTCCATGTGGTGGGTCTCGCCGTGTATCACCATAATCACTATATTATATTGTCCGCGGCATATGCGATAGCGTTCGTTTGGCTCTTAGATCACACTAGCTCACGCTCCCTCTATCATCTCAGTTACCATTCACAGACGATTGCCTTCGCGGCTTACGGTCTTCACCAACTCTATACATCACACCCGTGGTTGACCTTCCCTGTTACCCAGTAGAGATACTTCTTGTTTTGTATAAACACTCATTGAATCAAGGTTGTTGTTACTGTACTCTGTGCTGTTCGCGGAGCGGTAATCTCCAATCTCAAAGTCCATTGAACTCGTTGGTTGCCAGCTATAGTGCTAGTATGAGGAGCTAGATGTCAGTGGTCACTGGGACCGATGCCGGCTGTCGTCTGTAAGCATATGCTGCGTCGAGATTGCCTAACAATAGCACTAGCAAGTGTTCATGATGAATTGATTCTGATAGACCGGCATCTTAGGTTTGAGCGGTGACATTCTTGATGACAACAACGATTCCTCTGGGTTTCCAACATCGTGGGCCTAGTGCCAATAGTGTGGCAAAACCGAGCCACACAGGTGCTAGTGCGGAAGCTTGTGCCTTCGCATTTGTGTACAACCCTAAGGTCGCACTGCGAGCCTCAGCCTGTTTCGCACTTTACTGTAAATTTGAAGCACTTGCCATGGTACAGTCGTGGCGGCGTGATCCTCCGGTGCGCACTGCGACCCCGGCCTGAACACCCCCGGTCCACGTCCGTCACCGAATCCCCTCCTCCTCCCTCGGAGGAAGGCTCCGGTGGCTGGCGGGCGCCAAGTTCATTGATCTCCGGATCAGGGGCCACACCGGGGCCACACGCCACAATGCGAGTCGCCCGTGCCTATCACCTCAATTGGACGGCTCATGGATCATCATCGGTCGCATACTAGGTGATTTTTGTACTAGTGACTGCGAGTGTCATGACAGACGTTGAGGTGCTGAGCTCGGGGTCCCATCATCGGTGAGTACTTCTGCCACAGTCTATGGCACCACCCTCAGGCTAGGTCCTCCGAATCTCCGCTTTCAATCCAAACTGATGTCCGTCGCCAGAGAAGTTCAACGAGTCGGACTATGAGATCAATGAGAAGCCGATGGAGCGGGATCCATCTGTCATACCGAGACAAGGACGAACGGGGAGAGTTTGGAGTCGGTGATGTTCTGTCATCGCACAGAGCGTGTATGATCCAGAAGTTCCGCCCCAAGCGGTGCGCGTCAGCGCGGGCGTTCACGTGGAACATGGACAGACACGGTGATGAGGGCGATGACCTCTCAGGTGCACGCTGATGCCCGTGCGTATCCTATCAAAGCATGCATCCTTGTCGCGTCATGCAATCAAAAGCACAGGTGGCTTTGCAGCTTCATGGTCGAAATTTCCCCCTTGACTCTGCTAGATCAGACGTAAAACCGAGTCTGCGTAACGATCGCAAGCATCGCGAGGGCGGACATAGCCAGACGTTGTCCTTGAAGACTCGCCGGTACCTCATGTCTCGCGTTCTACCTGTCCCTGCATAACTTACTTCTTAGTAGATCCCGATCAGCTTATCACTGCGAAACGCCATTGGAGCGCGACCGTCGTCTCCCCGGCCTTAACTTGATTCCGACGTCGGAGCGCTGCCCACCCAACAGGTATCATCTACTGCCCCCTTGTTTATTCGTGCTCCTGGCCGCCCGCCATGACGGCTTTCGACACGACCCTTGGTTGCTTTTTCATTGGTATCGTGCTTTCGACTCTGTAGGTGTTGAGCACCATGAAGATGCTTGCATGGGCTCACCTTCTCGCAGATTCTATGGCTGTACCGTTGCCCAAGTCATTTATTATGCTCGCCATTACCGGGAAGATCGCTGGGGCTTCAAGACCTTTGTACGTCGTATCTTTCTTGCCCATGCATCTTTGACTGACCCTCTGTCAGGTGTGGCTCTTGTGGTATGTCACTCTCTCGACGGCGCAATGGCATTTCATGGATCCGACGGTTGGACAGGCTCTTGGACACACTGGTGACCATATTGGATGTGGCGGTATGGTCACTCCTTTCTCGGGGCTGTAACACCTATCATAACGCGAGGGTTTTAGCTCATTTGGGATTTCCTCATCTCGGGTCACGCCAATTTGCTGAAGCTCGGCACTATGCCAAAGTAAGTGTTCTGTTATGACTGGCACGCCAGGTTGCTAACGAACCTCTCTCTAGCTCTGGTGTCGTGAGTGACCTCCGCTTTCAACCTGTGTGATCCTGATCTAACAATGTAAACGCAGGTCGAGTACCTTGTTGTGGTGCGTCCATCGTGAAACCGGGCGACAGTCGATCGGTAGCTGACGGGTTTTCAGACGATCGTAACCCTCACGGTACAGATGTGAGTGACACTGCATACCTGGAAAGTCTGACTTTAACTCGTTCGGGATCAGATATTATACCATGACCATCTGGAAACGTATGTACACTAGTATTGGCAGGCGAAGGTAGAGTAGACTCATCAAGTCATGCAGTCATCAAGAGCAAGACGTACAAGATCCTCATCACTTCCGTAGTGGTGAGTTTCCCGAACGCGCCTCAGTAACGTTCAACTGAAACAGTGTCATGACAGACGGTGATCTCACTAGTGTCGTTTGGTTGGTCGCCATCTTTCTCTCTATGGATAGCACACTCACGTAGGAGCATGTTATAGCTTTCGGCATAGGTGCGTATAACATGCATGGACCTACGTCATCTGCTGACACAGATCGTATCTCTAGAGAACGTCTACGAAGTGTGCGTATTGCAATACACGACGAAGTGCTCATGTTGATGATTGCCGTACAGCGCTCACAATCCCGCCATTCCAGCGGTTTATACAATGACCGTGGTCCCAGCAACGGTGCAGCCGGTGATGGCCTGCATTGCGGATATTTATATCACTGTTGCACTGTCTTGGTTGCTGCAGAGAGAGCGGACCATGTTTTCACAGTGCGTGCACGAGCATCTACGAGTCTATACGGTATTCTAATCCCTCATCCCAACAGTACTGATTCGTTGATAAATACGCTGACGGCGTGGGCCATCAACCGGGGCGCGTTAACTGCGTATGTGATACTTGATTTAGAAGACACAGAAGTACTGAGCGAATCACAGTGCTATGCAGACAGCCCAAGCAATTACTGTGCGTCCACGGTCAATGTACCGTTGCTGTTACAACCGGCTAACCTTGACGTAGTACATTGCTGCGGACAAGGATGTATTCTACTGGTCGATATTCCATTTCGCGGGCGGGAAAGGTAAGCAGCCGGCCATAACACTTCGCTTATTGACGCACTCATGACAACGCGTGCGCAGCTTATGTGAACTCCGTCCTCGCGATGTACGTTTCTTCTTGGATGAGTGCTTGTGCATCTCCGTACTAATGACGTGTGAAGATTGAATGCTCGACACTATATCCGTAGCGGTGGACGCAGTCACGGTACGGATGCGTTCAGTGTACAAGAGATGCCGATGCACAACGTCTCAGCCCGGAAAGGTTTGGCGTGAGTCTCGATCAGGGCTCACAGATGGATGTCAGTGACTGACTTGAAACTCTCGCCAGAAGCGAACGCAGCTGGCAGTGGCCGCAGTGGTCGCAGCGTTCGGCGAACAACGGAGTCATGCTCGAAACCGACGTGATTAGGCACTTTGACAAGTAGCGCTTATTGTCTGCGACTCATTGATGCGTTCTGTGTACATCCTATGTACATCATGTCTTCGCCTGTGCGCGTGTGTAGGAAGGACCTTCCGACTGCCAGTTTTGAGACTCAAATACTATTTCTTGATGCGTTTTATTGTAAATTTTTGCCACTCTTTTCTGTGTAGACCTCGCACAGTAGCCTCAGGCCTCGGCTGGTCACTACTGACCAGCCTATAAAATCGCGCGGCGGTCTCCTTCTATCACCTTCGGTATAGTACATGCACCCATGTTCTCTACACTAATCGACAGTAGCCTGAACGAGTATACGTAGATGGGCCGCTGGGTAAGCCGCCCGACAGGGTCAGTGAAAGTGGGGATCTGAAGGACCAGGCTGTATGATCCTTCCTGTCAGACTGCAGGTCGCACTCATCTGACAACGTCATTATGTCTGTGCACAGGTCATGGAGGACATCCGAGATTATCCAGACGACTAGAAGAACGGAGTACCCACAATCCCCGTTCTTTTGCGTTCCATATCGAAGTCAAAATGGGTGCTCTCAGCCGTCCATGTGGTCGGTCTCGCCGTGTATCACCACAATCTCTATATTGTATTGTCTGCAGTATACGCGATAGCGCTCGTTTGGCTCTTAGATCACACTAGTTCACGACCCCTCTACCACCTCAGTTATCATTCCCAGACGATTGCCTTCGCGGCTTACGGTCTTCACCAACTCCATACATCACACCCGTGGTTGACCTTCCCTGTTACCCAGTAGAGATAAGTACATCACGTTTTATAGAAGCACCTATCAAGGCTATCGCTACTGCAGTCACGCAGTCCGCGGAACGGTGATCTCCAATCACAAATTCCATTGAATCTGTTGATTGCTGCGACTGTAGTATGAGGAGCTCAGTGCCAGTGACGACCAGAAATCAATACTAATTCAAGTGTGCGAGAGGCATAGCTACAAGATGGTACATATCATGTCTTCCGCGTAGACACCAACGACTCGGACGGTCGCAACGCGCGGCTCTGTGTCCTTAATGCATCGCTGACCCATAGGCCACCACTCAAGAACCACTAAATTGAATCATCTAACATTTCGGCGGCGCATGCGGTCTTCATGACCAGACCAAACCGAGTACCGACGGCAGCCTGAACGAGACGATCGCCTGTTCCCAGCACTCGCAGCTATAGCCGTGCAGCCGAGGCCCCGCCAGCGAATTCGTTCAGCAGACGTGCCATCTCGTTCGCAAGCTCTGCTGGCATTTGCACGGGGAGCTGGGCGAATGATATCAACCAATGAGACAAATTGTACGATGAGACGGTCTGCGCACGTAGTGTCCAGCGTCTTGTATGAAGCTGACGGAGGCCAAGGCTTCGCGGTCTCGTTCAGTGTTCTTGCGTTGCTGGCTATAGATCTCTGGAGGCCTGGAAAGTGGGTTGTGTACTCGTGACATGCGGTCGCTGGAAGGAGAGGAGCATACCAAAGATCTTCTTTTGTACCGAGTATCACATGCGTCGGGAGGATGTGGTAGATCGAACGGAGGTAGTTCAGTGCCCCGAGATGGGTGCCATCATCGAGGAAGCACGCCGTCTCCTGTTCGACCGTCGTCTTCATTGTCACGCGCTCATGGTCCTGTTCATCTTCGTGGAAATACGTCTCCTGCCAGCGGAGGTGTGTCACACCAGACTGGCAGCCACAGGGGATGATGGAGTACGCACAACCATAACCTGCCACACTTCCGGGTGGTATGTCTTGCACGGCAGGCGCTTTTTGAAGTAGGTCATCGCCTCGTCCACAGATGGCCAACTGGTCCGACGACGCTGGTTGGAAGTCTTGACAATATCGTATAGCCCTTGCATTGAGGACCAGGCCTCATGGCCGATGAGCGGGGATTCAACAAGCATAAGCCGGGAGATGGGGAAGTTGGACGTCGCCGGTTCGAGGCCTGGAGTCTGTATGTACGCAAATGTGTTATGTGATTATTGCCTATGGAAAACGGGGCCATTATCAAGCGGAACTTACATGGAACCTCCAGCGCCGGAGTGTCCTACGGCGATCAAGTTAGTCCGTTCGCGGTCGGAGAGAAGGTCGGAGGAGAGGAACGCGCGGATGGCGGCCGAGTACTGTAAACTGGGGACTGTCGTCGATGAGCCTACATGCACGACGGATAGAGCGTGGTGGACACACAGATCACGCTGTAGTGCTCCTTGAGCATAGCTTCGTTCAAAACTCCCGCGTCGCCATGGTTGGGCCGTTCTATCACCCAGACAGAGTGAATCTTGACACGACTTTGCGACTGACTAGCGAGATAGTAGAGGCGCTTGATGACGGGCAGCCAAGCCTCTTTCTCTGGGAAAACATACTACGTCAGCAGGAGTAGGAAGTCAGAGTCAAAGGGAGACCGACGGAGAGATATCCCGGCGCATAGCACCAAGGAGCAGGTAGTCCGACCTGGGACGTCGCTCGCGGGACGCTCACGAGGAACAAAGCGGGTGGCAAGGGAGCAGAGAGGACGGTCGTGGCGGTAGTTGAATTGAACGGTAGAGTACGTCAGAGGCCGCAACGTTTCACAAACGAAGGCATTGTCAACGAGCAGCCGCTGCAGTCCCAAGTCGTGTCGACTACTTGCAGACGAGTCAATAGGAGCTCAGCACTTCGGGAATCGACTGTATCTGTAAATAAACACTAGTATGCGTAGCCGCGCAGGGACCGCCCAGAGCTCCCGTGAGTACCTTAGACCTCCTCTTCCAGACACCGGTCGCACGCCTATCTATATTTCTTATCATTTGCGAGGTATGTTCTTCCTCCATTGGGGCTGCGAAGGGAAGCATTCCTGGGTGTCCGGAACTTGACGAGTTTAGACTTCACGTCATGCTTCTTCCGAGCCTTGAAGGAAGCCATGTCCATAACATGGCAGTAGCGACGAGTCCCATGTCCGTATCTATGGCCGTTCTGGCACATGAGGCCGGTGAGATCCATAGGAGAAGCAGATCGAGTTCGCCCACCACCGTCGGTGTAGAGCCGGAAATATCAGTGACAGGAACGCGCATTGACTACAGCAAGATCTAACTGTGTAATACATGCAACAAGCGATACTCGCGATACTCCAAGCTTCCCGATCTCTCTCGAAACCTACAACGTGTCAAACAGCATCTGTACGACTCACCAACTGTTCGACAATTCACTCGTGTGAAAGGATCGAAGTGCTATACGCTGACGCTAATGTACATGCTACACGCAGAACGTCCACCAAAACCTCACATTTTTCATTCAGGGGTTAAGCAACAGCCGTCAACGCTTCAGCATTCAGTCTTGATCCTGGCTAGAGCCTGTCTCGCAAGTGCGGCCTTCTCAGCAGACCTGGGCGCCACTTCACACGTGAAGTCAGCTGGTCGCCTACAGACGGTTCCAGCAAAGACCGAAGTCAATGTCAAGACGTCAGCAAGCTAAATGGCGAAATGCGCCAGAGGGGGCACGACGGCACGACGACTCGGACGCACCGGATATGTCCGCCTCTCCAGGCGACGGCAGGCGGGCGAGGCACGCCGTTCGCGTCCTTCGCGGGCCGGAGGTCGAACACAGCGAGCGTGTGCGCCATGTTGAGGAACATGATGGCCTGCGCAAAGTGCTCTCCCACACACGTCCTGCGGGGTGAACATGGTGGGTATCAACAACAACGATGGTTCTGAATGATGGAAGCGCCAGAAGACGCACCGGCGGCCGAGCCCGAAGCCGATGACCTCTGGGTCGAACGCAGCGACTGGACCTGAATGGGGAAGGTAGCGTTCGGGGCGAAACTCGTCCGGACTTGGATACGTGTTGGGATTGTGGTATATCGCCCTGAGAGGTACGGCATTGTCAGATTGTTATAGTACGAACAGCAATCAGCTCACCACATATTGACCATCACGCAGGCTCCCTTGGGGATAAGATAACCTTCGTAAATCTATCGGAAGAACCGACTGGGTCAGCAGATCGGCGGACGGACGCAAGGAGATAGTACACGCATCGTCCACGTCCAAGCTGTGCGGCATGAGAGGCACAATCGTCCCGAATCGGAGAACCTCTTTGATGATGCAGTTCAGATACGGCAACTTCTCCCTGTCCTCCATGGTGGGAAGCCGCTGCGTCCCGACGACCGCATCGATTTCCGCTTGGGCCTTGCGCTGGATGTCCGGGTGAAGAACCATCATCAGCCAGAACATCCGGATTGCGCTGACAGTCTGCACATCAACGGAGCGGACTATGTTAGAGGGACGCCCACGCGGAGACAGGCAGTGAATGGGAGCTTACGGTATCGATACCCGCGGCATACAGCGTCCCCGCAGCGACCATGGCGGCGTGAATGTCATCAACGGTTTTCGCGCCTTTGGCTTCGTCCAGGAGTGTGTCGGCGACCCAGCATGATATGGCAGAGCCTTCACGCTACAACCATCATGTCGATATCGTGCTCAGATGAAGAGCTCGGCACGGCAAGCATTCATGACTTACCATAGAATCCTTCACTGCATTGAACGGTCCCCGAATGAGACGCTCCGTCGTTTCGCGCGAGGCCGCGGCCCAGCGCTTGAAGTGGCCCCAGGGAACCACGCTGGAATACGAGCCACTGCAAGACATCCGGAAGGGTCAGTGATCGTGACTGTAGAGCATGACTGCCGATTGGGGCATGTACGTACAACTGGGAAGGAATCAACCAGCCAGCGACCGGGGTGCGCCGCCTCGTTCGTGAGCTCGCAAACATGTTCCGACAGATTGATGTTCGGGTCGTCCACCGGCAGGCATTCGATGCCATACAGTGCTTTCAGCAAAACTGCGCCGGCATTGCTGTCAGCGGGGGTATTGTCGCGTCAGCATGGGAGTACAGATGCAATAGAGCATAAGATGCTAGACCTACGTCCGGATTGCCTCCGAGAAGTTCGCTGGGTTGTCCAAGACCGAGACGAGCAGGCGGTAAGATGCCGCTTCCTGCAGTGGCCATGAATACTCGCGCACGTGTTGCTTGTTCATCCAAGAGTGCGCGATCCTTCTGCATTTCCTGTGGAGCGCGTTGTACTTTGAGAAAACCATGGAGGTCTTCTCTTTCCCGACGAGCTCGCCAGCCATGACCTGAAATGAGCATGTGTAGACACACATGAGCGTCGCAATAGCATACGAAGGACAGAAATAAACGCACAAGGCGCGGCTTTGTAGCATAGATGCCTGAACGTTGATCGAACAAGTCTAGTGCCATTTTGAGATCGTTCACGACGACAAACTCTCGGCCGAAGGTATGGAAGTAGATCAGGGGTCCTGCATAGGATATCAACACCTCGGGGTACTGCACGACAGCAAATGTACGCACCATGACAATCAGCCCACTGACGGAACTGCATGAATGAATCTGTAAGCGAAAGGTGAAGAGCATTGCCGATGAAGGGGAGGCCTCTTGGACCTGTTCATCGTGGAGTTGTTCAATGACATGGCAAAGCGCAAACAAAGCTAGTGAGTCCTACCAGGAGGGAGCAAGACCGCACGTCGTCTAGCCTGGATGGCATAGGCAACGAACCAACCTGCAAACGCTATGCAGAGCACGTCCCATCGCATGGTCCACATCGAGCGTCGTCGCGAAGTAACCTTGAAGTTGAAGTTGAGGGTGTTATGCCAGCTGACACCCTGAGCTTGAGCTAGGAGCCGGATCGAAGGTCAATCAAGAAATCAAAATATGCATGCCAATGCAGTAATTCGAAGCAGGTATCATCTGAGGTGGTCGACTGAAAGCCAGCTGTCAGTGAGTCGGATGATAGAAGCTGATACCGTCAGCTTTTGATTCTTCTGCCTGCCATGAATAGATAGTATGGTGAGAGTTTGCCATATCATATGTATCTGCAATTGGCGTGTGCATTGCATATGCGTACTCAGTACGTGGAGTATCGGAGTGTGGATAAGTACGACTGCCAGGAGGAGCAAGACAAGAGTCTCATTCGGGCGCTTATGATCACGTAAAGCGGCTCTCGTTCTCCGGTAAATCCCGAGCGCGCTTCTAGGCTTCGCCCTTGCCTCGCCCCGTCCACTGCCAACGCTCGTCCGGTCGACTCGTATGCACGTTGTCTCCTCATAACAAAGTCACAGATTGTCTTGTCTGCTGAGCCCGTATGCTAAATTTCACCACACACAATGAATGATGGCAGTATAATGTGCAAAGCAATCTTCACGGCGGGACAACCTTGGTCGCGATGCGGCATTGGCAAGCTTCGGTGCGTGCAGTGACCACATCCATACTTGTTCTTGACCGGTTGACCACAACGGCTGATACAGGGCGCGCGCTCAACGTGCACGTTCTTTTTTTGAGGATTGTTGTGGCTTCTGAATCATCCGAGACGACATACCGGAGCGCGAATACCTCCGCCAGCGAGCGAACACGAGTATTCCGACTTCCCAGCGGACCACTCTCTTGTGTGGAGCGACGCGCAGAATAGAAACGCGCGCGTGTGGCTCGGGCGTCGTGCGCTCCTCTCATATCAAGTTACTGCAGGGTGCACGCCATAGACAGCACGTACGCGGCATTCAGCGCAGGCAGATTTGTCCAGTGTTGCATATTCAGAGGCTACTGAATGTATATGTCGCCCGCAAAGGGTAACACATACGGCAAGTCGCAGATATGATGCCTGCTCCGGTCCTCAGGCCTTCAGGACGCAGTGTGCAATACGACCCATATCAAGCTACCTCTGAGGTCGAAGCTGTCACACGGGCGACGCGCCAGACGACTGCGCTTTGACTGCGCTGATACTCTGGTGCGTAACCGAGCCTCCCACCTTCTGATTTCTTCCAAGCTTCCTCGCGTCATCCAGCACACGCCCATCCGCTATATCGCGAGTCCGCGATTCAATGCCGTTGTCCCCGCGGAGGAAGCGACCATAACTTCGCATCGGCGTTGTGACTGGTCAGATAACTATCAAGGGTGCCGGAAGACCGACAGTTCTGGCATATGCGAAAGCCCGTATGTCCAATCATACACGGAAGCATAACCACGAGGACGCACCTGACACCGCGCTCAGGATGTCAGGACAATGCTCGCCCGAACATCGTGCTACATCCTGGGCGTACACTGCCTTTCTATAGGGCTCTGTCACCATCACTTCCGAGAAGCCCGACCACAATGCTGGCAGCCCAGTTACGTGGCGAGCTTCCAGTTGCGCTGAGGCGAGTCATGCGCTCATCCCGGATCCGAACATCTGTGGTGCCTACGAGAAGCGAGAAAGAGCGCTGGGACGATGCTTGGAAGATGCTTTTGCGGGAACAAGGTATGTCTGCCAAGGTCTGCCAGTCTGGTTGTTGATTGGACGTCTCTCACACTCACGCGTGTTCTCTGATAGAGACGGAACTTCACATACGATGAGGCCCGCAGCGCGTGGATAACATGACTGGTGGAGGCACACCGGGAAGACTACGCTCGCTGCAGCACACAAATATGCATGTCTCCGGAAGTGCATTGTCAGGATGTCGAGGCTTCTCGTTCCTAAGGCGAGCCTCGCAGCTGAGATAAGACTAGTCATTTTTCTTCTGCTGTCACTACGCTGCGTCGTTTACCGCTACGGAACGGGATACAACGCACTTGCGAACCGAGGACTCACCACCACTTCTAACAGCCTTGCATGCATGTTTTGGGAGCATCTCAGTCTTCTGCGTTCTCAGAGGACGTTGAGCTTGATCACAACTCAGTCCCGCATGTTTCTTGTATCCCATATGGAAGGCTCGTGAGTTTCCTGGCCTCTCTGATCGATCCTATGGTCGCCCTGGAATCAACTCTTGCAGATTGATGACACGGTGTCTATGTCAGATGTCAGAAGGCGAGATTCACGTATTACCAAATAAATCTGCATCTGACGTTCTCACAATAGCGTCATTTTACCCCTGTTCGCCATCACGAATCCGAACGTCACGGATGGTATTGGGTACGCCCGTCCCGGTTGATATCGGAAGTCCCCTAAGAGTCCTTGTTTTACCATCCTTTCGCGACGGTTGTCTTAAGGTTGGCCCACCAATGTCAGAACTTCTATGAGATCAGGTCTAAGCCTTTTCAGATCTTGATGTTCGGTGAGCCATGATTGAGCAGTCTCGACATTCATCGGATTCCTGATCCAGATGCCATGACTTCGTGGCGTAAAATGGAATACCGACGCGCACTTAGCTGTGCTATAAATTCAGTACATGGTATACGAGCCCTGTTGGTTCTCACGTGTACCATAACTGTGAATCGCTGTCACCATGGGCAGCATAGCTTCCCGTCCAAAGATGATGTCGTCCCCCAGTGAGGCCTCAAACGCCGTTCTAGACTGGTTTGCGGACTATGGTGAGTGCGCTCGTTGCTGTGGTCGGGCAGATGTTGAGTAGCATCTCCAGTTCGTGCGGGCACGTTGTCTACGCTCTCGCAGGGGTTGAAGCGAGGCGAGCTCGTCATAGAAGAGGGTACTGAAACGCGCACTTTCGGTGTGCATGAGCCTACGCACGCGCCTGTTCGCCTGACAATCTATCACCCCAACTTCTGGGTAAGGATATTCATGTCGCACGACATCGGCCGTTAGTATTATTCACTTGTTCCAATGGGATTTGGCCGCTGACGCTGTCGAGGCTTGCAGTGGCCGAGGGCTACATGCATGGTGATTGCGACATTGACGACCTCAAGGGGTTTATGAACGTATGCGCTACATGAAACCCTCGCTCACTTTGGTATTAACGTGTGCCTCGCAGCTCTGGCTTGACAACCGTGACGGGCTGAGCTCACTCGAGACCACCATATCTTCCCTCGTCAATTACTACACGGCTATGGCGATACGATCCATGTATCGACAGAACTTGGCCATGGCCAGGCTTAATGCTGTGGGTGTCGTATGATCATTAGAATGGTTATAGCTAGCTGAGCTGTTCATATCTGCGTAGGCAGCTTCGTATGACGTATCGAACACCTTCATGCAGGTTTGGCGATTCTACTCTATTGTCCGGCTCTCCTGATCATTCATTGGCAGTGCTTCCTTAGCGAGGAGATGATGTACTCTGCCGCGTTCTGGGGAGACGAAGAGAACGGCCCACGGGGAGATCTGACCGTAGGGCCCTTCCCTAATGATCTCGAGAGCGCTCAGCAGCGCAAAATCCAAAGTTACTTGAGACAAGCACGGCTACGCCCAGGAGACCGTCTGCTCGAGATAGGGTCTGGATGGGGCGCTATGGCTATCGCGGTATGATGCATCGTATACTTCCTCATCGTGTGCGATTGCTGATAGTCGTCTTGCGAGCAGGCCGGCAAGCTCGGGTGTATTGTTGACTCCATCACGCTCTCCAGCGAGCAGAAGCTTCTTGCGGACGAGCGGATCGCCGCTGCAGGCCTCTCGGATCGTGTGCAAATTCATTTGTGCGACTATCGTCAGCTCCCGCCCTCATTCAAGGGCGCGTTCGATGCGTGCATCAGCTGCGAAATGATAGAGGTCCTACCTTTCGTGACCCTTTTGAGTTGACATGTCTCACTAATTCTGTCGCACTAGGCCGTTGGACCGAAGAACTACAACTATTACTTCAAAGTCATTGATTGGGCTCTGAAGCCGGACCGAGGGACTGCCGTCATCTCGTCCACCACGCAGCCGGAACATCGATACACAGAGCTACAGTATGTGTTCGCATATGCCGCTCAGTGTTACGCTAGTAACCCCTCAAACCTTGTAGGGCTGAAGACTTTGCTCGTCGCTATCACTGGCCGAACAACCACGCACCAAGCGCAACAAGCCTCGTCGTGGCAGTGCAGAAGGCCGTCAACGGCAGACTAGTTTTGCATTCTGTCGAAGACCATGGCATTCGTCAGTGTTGTTCCAGTTATATAATCCATTCTTTACTCAGTAGGCCTCAGTTTATTGTCGAACCTTGAGGGAATGGGGAAGGTTCGTTTATCGCTGCTTTCAGCTACAAAGGTGCTCACTAGATTCATGCTTAGGCGTTTCGAGAAGAATTTCACGGGCGAGGCGCTCGAAACTATGCAAGACAAGTATCCGTATCTACGGGATCCGAAGAGCCTCGAAGTGTTCAAGCGCAAGTGGCGATACCTATTCGTGTACGCGGAAGTTGGGTATGCACGAGCATACACATCTCTGCATCGATTCACGTTCTCACGGCCGGTAAGCCTCCTCCTACTCTCTTGATATCACCGAGTGCTTCTCAACTGTTACAGGAGAACGCTTGTGAAGCTTGCGCGTGAAAGATTGATCGTGCCGTGGAGGTGAATGGACGGGGGAGTAAGTCGAGCTTAGCAACGTATTTCTCCATTGCTGTGTGGTGCGTGATGGTGCACGACTGATGTATGCAGTCGGCGAAGCTCCCACGAGAATCGTAGCTGTTGGCAAATCAAATGTGTCTGTTTCCTGCTGTTGTCAACCGGTGTCAAAGTGGCCCAAAGCGGCGCTGAAAAGCCTTCACGGTGACTTCCGAGGTCAGGTCGGACCATCATGCTACGTGCCATTGGAGCCGAAAACCGGTGTGGTCAGTCGCTGTCAGCGGCGGCAGAGTGGGACGCTCTGTCAGCACTCTGTGCAAGAGATGAATTGAGCGGGTCTTGGTGCGTAAATTCAAACCTCAGTCACTGTAATCTATGTCTTGGCGGAAATATCGGAGACAGGTAAGTTGCAGGTAAGCACGCGACTGGCCCAATGGTGGTCGCAGTAAGTACTTACGGCATCGAGTTCGAAGTAGTGCGGCGCGAAGACAGCCTAGGCGCTCTCATGGGCATCGGCGGCCCCGTGCGACATGAGAGCTGGGAAGATTCACCGATGCGGGCCCGGCCTCGGAAGCCGATTCGCACAAATATTTGGAATGCAGTTCAACAAATCTCATGCACTGCTCCTTGTGTCTATAAGGTTCTGTCAATGGTACAATGGACCGATTCGGCCATATGATTCGGTGGGAGCGAGTTCCAAGTCAAATCAACAAACTGCAAAACCTTGTCGCTCCATCATCCGCCGCCGGAGAGAACCCGAGTGCCACCCGTTGCCGGAAGAGAAGACGTCCCATGGAGTGAGTTATATTCGTCTCCGGTAGTCGAGGTATAACTTCGCCTTCGTGGCGCCTGTGCGGAGTGGCTTGTCCCACACGCTTTGAGACCCTCAATCATGTCTGGCGAACAGACTCCAGTGCTTAATCGTCCCACGCCGGTCTCGCAGTCAATCTTCCAGCAGACATATGGTAGGTAGCACCATTCGTTCCACCTTGATCACGATGATGACCCTCCGTTGAAACAGGTGGATCGTTGGCATGCTGCCAGATTATGCTGGTTTTCTATGGACTCTCTGTCTTGCAGGTCTGTCTGGACGCACCTTGTTGTAATTCAAATTCTTGCGTCAAAGCTGACACTTGGCGCCGTTCTTCTGCAGAGCTACTTGTACTTCATTCGATATGAGAAAGATCGTATTTACTTGAGGCTACTGGTAAGCATGTCGAGACGGTCAGTCAGAAACATCAAAGCTCATATACAGTAACTTGACAGGTCCTAGTATTGTTGTATGTTTTGGCTAGCGTAACCAGTTGTTACTTTGGGATGACCGACCTTCACAAATCCCAGTTGCTTGTCGACAGTACATTCGATTTTTGGTAAGTCGTGACCTCACTTCAGTGCCTGTAAATCGGTGTTGATCAAGTGTTCAGTGTGTCACACTGTGTGGCACTACCTTGTGAGCAGTCGTCTCTACACCACACATCTGTTCTCTGTTGAACGCTTTGACGTCTTAAGGTTTTCAGCTACACTGATGTGGCTTTACTTACTGACGGGGAATGGTAAGTCGGTACTATAGTGCACTACGCATGTCAAAAAGGGCTGACACGGCCGTTGTATTACACAGGTCTGTCTACGTATGTGTCTACTGCGTTCTTTCGCCTATGACGAGGCTGACACGATCAATCCTATGTCAGGCGGCGACAACTGTTGGGGTGCGCGCATCCGCATAGTGACAAAGAGACCTATTCGAAGACTGACAATCATTGTTAGGTCGTCACCTGCTTCTTAGTCCAATGGCAAGTGTTGATCCGCCGTTTGTCGCAATGGAATCCTTCTCACGAGGATACAATTCATGAAGCTTCTTTGCGAGGACGTTATACCAGTGTGAGTGTACTTATACAGGTCATGCATAAGGGCTGGCTCGCGCTTATACTGTACGCTCACTTAGTGCTGAAAGGAAGATGGAGATTGATTATCACAACGGTCATGGTACGTTTCTCTGGCGTACGTGTCATCGCTCACCGCTCAATATCATGTTGAATCAATAGATCGTCTTGATTTTGGCTCAGCTCGGTGAGCAGCAAGCCATCGCTGATATTACAAGCTGATGAGCCGTGGTGCAGGATTCGGAATCAGTACGTTTACTTCTCGTCCTAGCGACCTTGATATTTTGTGACATCTGCATTCGGTAGCGCTTTCCTACAAACTGTATGCTCAGCGGCACTTTCCAACGTCTCGCTTGTTGTCTAACAACGCTTGGACAACAGGTTTCAGATATGGCAGCTGTATCTTCTCAAGGAAGCCGTCGTACGTCTGCATCAGTTCAATTTCAGCCTCCGCTTTTCATAGATGTTTTCATAGTACATCTCAATGATCCCTCTGTTCTGTGTTCGGATGGCAGCAGATGCTGTCACTGCCACCACGTTATGTGTCGCGCTCTACGAAACGACGACCGACTTCCGAAGGTGCGCTGCTCATTATCAGGATATCGCGCTCTTGCTAATGCAGCTCTCAATGCGACAGTTCCGTAAAGCTCATAAAGATGCTCATCATGTATGCTGTCAACCGGTTCGTCCTGACGACGTGAGTTCAGCTCATATCGACGGCGCGGACGCCGATCTGACAATCGTATATTATTACGCTTCTGTCAGTGTCGTGGTCGCAGTACAAACAATTGTTGTATGTTCTGCCGCTGCAGCAGACCCTCGCGGACATGATCACTTACTTCGGCTACGCTTTACAGCTGATCGTCCGGCCAGGTGAAATCTGGGCAATGGTTCTCGAGTTCATCACCGTACACAGTGCGTCCATCCATTCCTTGCTCCGCCTCGCCTGACTCGTACAACTCGCATGTAGTCTACGTGAACAGTCTGCTGGCGACGCTGAACGCGCGCGATCACCTCCGTCACATCGGGACTGGCTCGTCGATGGCCATCGAATCGCGCGTGCCGACTGGACGATCTGCGCTGGTGTTCCGCTCGGGCCCCATCGGCCGCTTCGACGACACTCTGGACGAGTCCTCGGGGGCTACCACAACGGAGCATGTGCACGTCGACCTCCTGAGGAGCTTGGACCGTCCCGGCGGCCGTGACCGAAGCTTCGAGCTCGGTGATCTGGACAAGAAGATCAAGGCTTCGGAGACTGCGGACAACTCCGTGAGTGCCCCATGTCGCTGACAGATTGTCTACATGTTGTCGTCCTTGAATGTACGTTGACGTCCCCGTATCTTAGGATCGGCTGGTGTGACCAACCGAGTGAATGCCGGGATTGTACGCGGCGGTGGGCAAATGGAGTTACTTGTGGGACGAGTCGGATCGAGCCGTTTTCTCTCACTTCCGTTTGGCAGATGGACGCTGTCAATGCTACATTCCACTCATTGCCCTGATCATCACCTGTGTAAGTTATGGGAACCCGCTGTACAATGTAATGGTACTGTCAGTGCCTGCCCTGCTGGTCTGGCGCATGCAGACATGAAAGCCTAACACCTGTCGCGTGTACCGCCTGATGTCATGATATCAACCATCCAATAGGAACGAGTGAGCAGGGGTTCAACGGAATATGGGGACAACTGAGGCCCTAGCTCCCGCTTCCTTGAATGCGTGAGAGCACGAAAGCATTGCATACATAATAATGTATTGCATCAAAATCATCGCTCGTTGATCGATCACACGCACGACGGCAGGAAGGCCATGATATAATCCCCCTCTGAGGTGACCTTTGAAACAACGCTACGTACTCACTACAAAGGCCACAAACACTGCGAAAATGCCAACTTCCGCAGGGTGGCGGCTTTCTGTCCGCCCACTGGCAAGCTCGGCGATACTACATATATCCAGTCAGGGAGATCATCGAGACGAGCTGCGATACGAGGCAGCACGAGAACCGGAGCCGCCGAGAAGATTGGACACACATTGGCAGCCCACTGGCCTCAAAGGCTCAAACAAACGGAGAAGGGGATCACATCCAGGATAAACAGAGGAAGAAGGACTTAAGTACGCTACAAAAGCGGGGATTTCACCAGGGGGATCCCGCCCCGTGGGGCGCGTAGGCGATGGGGAGGTAACGAGGTACGCCTGTCCAAACCACGCGCTGTCCTTGTTTGTTGATCTCAAGGTCAGCGCACAGTGGTATGATATAGGCATAATATAAGGGGGCCCAGGGACGTACCCAATGTCGCCCGGGTTGCGCACATGGGTCGCGACACGTCACACCGGGCGCGCACGACGACAGATCTGTATACGCAAAGCGAAGTGGTCGAAAGGTGCGGTGCCAGAGACTCGAGAGCGAGCTGAAGTGGCTCGAAGACTCGGATGAAACAGAAACAAGAGACCCTGAGGGAAGAATAATATTGAAGCAACCCTTGTCGAGAAGCACGTCCGAGGGGAGACCCATGACGAGAGGAATAAGATGACATACGTAGAGCAACACTGCGACCGAGACGCGCTGCAATCGAAAGCCTGAGGAGATGCCTTAGTCGGCACTAAGTACCTTTCTCGTCGGCGATCGGATGGGTATACGGCGATGGGCACCACTGAGACGTAGGCACAACGCGGAGAAGCAGCACTCATTGTACAGACTACAGGCGGTTCATATACACGCTGCTATGATTTTTCAGTCTAGAATGGAGCATGAACTTGCAGTGAATGTTGGGTCTACTTACCAGTAACCAGATTGTTGCCAAATCGGGCGACTCTAGTGATGGCATGGCGTGCGAAGGTAGCCCGGACACGGTCACTCCTCCGTTCGGATTAGCGCGTCTGACTGCAATTGATGGCAGATGGAGCTCTGTACTTATCTCATCATGTGGGCGAGAAGAACGCAGAACCAGATATACTTATACACTCGAGACGCCGCCCTCCCGCACGCTGTCACGGCGTATCCTGACCATCGACGATGTCCTCCCTCTCATCACTGGACACCTCCAGCGTTCTCGCTGCCTTCCTCACCGTCGCAGTCGCCGTCGTCTCTTATGTTGCCTACCGCGCGATCGTTGTAGGCCGGCCCCCGCCCCCCTGCCTCCTGGCCCGCGACCTCTCCCGCTGATTGGCAACCTCCTTGACTTCCCCAGCTTCCATCCATGGGAGACGTTCTCCAAATGGGGCGACATCTACGGTGCGCGTAGCTCTACTCTCCTTCGCGTTCTCCATGCCAGTCATTGCAACTTTGCGCCGGCGCTGTCTTTGCGCTGACAGAGTCTGCAAGTAATGTCCGGTATCAGCCCTCCAGCTTTGACATCACCCTCACAACTGACGTGCGCGACTGATCATACCACCGTTCCCTCACAGGCGGCATCGTGCACATCAGCGCCCTCGGCCAGAACATCGTCATCCTCAACGAGCCCCAGTACGCCATCGACATGCTCGACCGCAAAGGCGTCCTCTATAGCGACCGCCCGACGCTCGTCATGGGCGGCCAGCTCGTCGGCTGGGACGAGGGGCCCGCGCTCATCCCCTTCTCCGACCGCTGGGCGGAGTACCGCCGGCTCTTCAGCCACTTCATGGGCACGAAGGCGAAGATCGACGCCTTCAGCCACGTCCTCCACGAGGAGACCAACGTCTTCCTGAAGCACGTCCTCGCCGAGCCCCGCGACTGGGTCGAGCACACGCGCCGGTGCGCCCCCTCCCGCTCCATGTGCTCACTTCACGCCGCTCACGCGACACGCAGGTTCGCAGGCGGGCTCGTCCTGCAGCTGGCGTACGGCTACCGGGCCTCGGACCCCGGAGGCAAGGAGCTCGTCAAGCTCGTCGACGACGCGATGGACGGCTTTTCGGAGGCGACGATGCCGAACGCGTTCCTCGTCGACGTTTTCCCCGTCCGTCAGTCCCTCCCCCTCCCTCCGTGACCGTCCCGTACCGACCATGACCTCGAAGTGCGCTGCGTGCCCGCCTGGTTCCCCGGCGCGGCGTGGAAGCGGAAGGCACAGTTGTACCACGACTACCTCCAGGAGATGCTGCGGGCCCCGTTCGAGCTCGTGAAGCGGCAGATGGTGCGCCTGGCCCGAACAAATCAGTCGGATCGAAACTGACTCCTTTTCCTGTGAAGGCTGCAGGCGTCGCGCGTCCCTCCTTCACCCAGAGCCATCTCGACTCCCAGAAGCTCTCCCCAGAGGAAGAACGCACAATCCAATGGGCAGCCGCCGGGATCTACAGCGGTACGTCTGTCCCTCCCTCCCTCAAAGCCCCGAGCGTGGCTCACCACACCGCGCAACTCAGGCGGCGCGGACACCGTCAGTCCCGTCCTCTCCGTCTGTCTCCCCGTCCGTATCCTGACGCGCACTGTGTCTGTAGACCGTAGCAGGCATCAGCTGCTTCATCCTGGGCCTCGTGCGCCACACGGCGGAGCAGCGCACCGCCCAAGCCGAGCTCGACACCGTGCTCGGGCACGACGCCCTCCCGACGCCCGCCGACCGTGCGCGCCTGCCGTACTGCGAAGCGCTCTACCTCGAGATCATGCGTTTCTACACGTTCGGCCCGCTCGGTGAGTGCCCCCATCTGAGTAGTAGCTTGTCTGGGGCTAACGGAGAGGAACGTCGTTCGTTCTTTGGCAAGGGCTTGCACACGTGGTGCGCGAGGACGACGTGCATGACGGGTACTTCATACCCAAGGGCTCGATCATCGTCCCTAACAACTGGTGCGTGCACCTCCGCTGTCCTCCGTCCTCGATGGCCACCGCTGAACTCGCACTGACACAGGCGATTCTTCCACAATCCAACTACGTACCCCGAGCCGGACACATTTGCACCAGAGCGGTTCCTAGGGAAGGAGAAACAGTTCGACCCGCGCAAATACCTCTTCGGGTACGGCCGTCGGTGCGTGCTCCGCTTCGCCTCTCTCAAATGCCGCTTTGTGCTCACACGGATCGCGACGCGCCAGGATATGTCCAGGCACGTCTCTGTCTCCGCGCCCGCCCCGGCCACCACTGACACCCCCACCAGGCCTCCACCTCGCCGACGCGTCCATGTGGCTCGCGTGCGTGTCCGTCCTCGCCGCGTTCGACGTCGCGCCCCCCGTGCACGACGGCGGGCCCGTCGTCCCCCCGGCTCGGTTCGTGAACGGTGGAATCAGGTGCGTTCTGCCTGCATTTCCCCTCGCCCTTCCGCAATATCTACACTACCTCGTCCTGGATAGCGAAGCTGACGCCTCCGTATAGCCACCCTGAACCGTTCGAGTGTGTAGTCCGCCCGCGGAGCACTGGCGTGGAGGCCCTCGTGCGCGGGCTCTCGGGCAGCCTCTGACCTTTAGGGCTCGATAACCCGGCGAGTCTGTATCCGGCTCTGTGTACGATCGCGAAGCTAGGCTGTATGAGTCGTTATCTCATGATCTAAAGGGCTCCGAGGCGACGTATCGAGATACTTGAACGGTTGTATTCGGGTTTTCTGAAGAACCTGCGTCATCGTATGCCGCATCGCCCGGCGCGACTGGCACGGTGGACGTGGGTATCCGATGGGCGTACATTGACTGGAGCCAGTGCTGCAATGTGCCTCATCTCGGTGCTCAGCATCGGACAAGGGAGCCCCGACTTATCTGGACGTCGGTCGGACGCGAGGTGCTCTCCGGCGGCGCTCCGCTTTGTTCACGGCTCTGCAGATCCAAGTCAATTGGACACACTCTGCACGGTGGCCTCCAGTCCTGGATGGATCTCTAGGACTGTTTCGTCGATAGTTCTTGTCGATGGTACCGCTCTTTGATACTCAACTTTTGTCTTACAACCTGTGTTACGGGCTGGCTTACGAGCCGGCTTATGCTTCACTTTGAGCAACCCTAACTCTAAGTGTTGCTCCCTGTTGTTTGTATGCTTACTGACCGCCTGTAACTCCTATAGCGTCTGCGGCCGAGGATCGTCGTACATCGCAGAGTTCATTCGGTCGAGCTCGGAGAACCAACCTCCGTGCATGCATGTTCCTTCACGCACATACTGCTGTCCTGCCTCACCAGCGGACCTGGAGCTCAGTCTGGGACTTCTGTAGTCATGGCCATGTGCCACGGAGCTGTCGCATCTTAGGGTCAGGAGGCGTATACGTACTCGCTTTCGGCTTGTAGAGCACCGGGTGCTGGCATGATCGATGTGCTCGCAGCAGGCTCCGAGGTCACGACGATACCCTGTCTGAACCTAAGCGGGAATTGTGTGTCCTGAGATGTCCATGTCAACGCCGGTCCTACGAGGGGCTCAGTTCGACGCATGGGTGCTACTGAAGCTCACTGCTCGTACAATCACAGTGAACGTGTGTTGCTTGTCCATTCTGTGAGTGGCGCGACACCAAGCTGATGTTCCCATACAGGACTCTGGGCCCGTGAAAGCTACTTAGTAGATTCTACAGTGCGAGATGCGAAGCCATGTCCCTGAACTTCATCAGCGAAAATAATATGTTCATCTACAACGCAGAGGTTGGGACATCTCCATGTGCGGTACGATAATAGGATCACAGCTGTCTGTTTTGTGTGTTTATGGTTTGGCTGATGCCCAACAGGATCTGTACGTCACTCTCACTCTCCCATCACTGTATGATCATCATGCTCAATCACAATGCATTGCTCAGCACAATCATTGGTGGTGACTGGATGCAGTTTCCAGCAAATGGTTCTCCTATCTATTCAAGTTCCTGACATAGGTCCTGAGGCAATGTGGTATATTTTTGTGGATTTGTCAAGTATGTGATTGTGGCAGGTCCATACCTCTTCACACAGCTGGCACTTCAGCAGGAACTGATTAATGGCCAACAAAGGAGACTCTATCCTCTCATCAATTTGAGCCATCTGTTGGGATGTTCACTTGTGAACATCTAGTAGTTATAACTTATCAGTGCTGAGTATGTGGTCTACATGACTGATTCAGTGACAATATATGTCAGTGCTTCATGACAGAGAAACCAATACAGAGTCCTCTTCAAGTTCTCAGGGACTATCTTCATCCATGACCTCATCAGGGACAATGTCTTGTCCATCCACATTACCCAGTGGGAGGCCTCCCTCATCAACATATCCTTCATCCTCTACATATTCCTCAAGGACATCTTCATCCACATTGGAGATGACTTGGCCACCAAGGCTGTTTGGCCCTGTGAAGTGAAGATCAGACATAGAAGCTGTTGTTACCCCCTGAGATGGGTTTGCTGCATTGCGAAGGTTGAGGAAGAAGTGGGATAAGATCACTGTTGTGAAGCTGGAATGCATGTAAAATATTGAATACAAGCATCTAATTTCAAGTACTCACCTGATTGCTAGCTCAGTTACTTCTATTAATGCCTGACATTGATATTGAGCCAAGGAATTCCTTTGAAATGATGTGACACTCACTGATGTATAATGAGATACAATTTCCAGGATGTCCACAACAACTAATGCCCTGCCATGACAGATCAAGTCAGAATTGGAGCCTGCAACTGACTATGTATTGCCTCACCCAAAGTATACAGTGCCTGATCTGACTTCAGTGATTGTGTACATCATTAGATTGAATGTCTGACTTACCATCACGGAGTAGCAGTGTTGTCAGTGGAATTTGCTCCCCAATTGTATGGGCCAGTTTCTTCAATGTGAATGTGTGATACCATGTTGACACCAGCACAAGTATGTGTGCAGTAGTGGCAGTGGCTGCAGAAGCAGGTGTAACTGCAGAAGCCTGTGTTGATCTTAGGATACACATAACAGAAGACTTTACTTACAGCTTATAAAGTTTCAGTTGTTACATCATACATGAGAACTTTTGAATCATGGTATGCAATGACTTACCCATCATACACTGCAAAGCTGTGTATAGATATTGTACATCCAAATTGAGGGTCATAGAGAATGTATGCAGCCACCATATTGTACTGCAAGTTCATGTGAGTACAGGCATATCTTTCCAATGTGCATGAATGCATACCATGTTTGCTGCAATCTCTGGAAGGAATAGTGTAAAAATCAATGAAGGGAGTTGCCAATGCCTTCCATTAATGGCGTAGACACGCAAAGCTGCTATGGCTAAGACCATAGAATTAGCTACTTTGTCAATGATGCATATCAAGAACATACCTGCTGTGGCAACATTGAAGACAATTGCAGCTACAGTTGAGGCATAGTACCAGGCCATTTGGCTATAGAACATAACATTGAGCAGATGATCATGTCTGTTACTCCTGTAGCAAACCTCTGTAACAACACTAATCAGCAAGTATTGGATATGGACAGGGCACAACATACTTTGCAACCAAGGGCAAATTCAACCCCAATGCTGGTTATACCACTGAGCAGTGTTGACAAATGCAGGATTGCTAGCAAAATCGATGGAATGGACACCTTGCGGTTCCACAAGAATTTAGCTTGCTGGTCAATAGTCAAGCAATAATCAAATAGGTAGAAGCCTAGATTCATTAAACATCTGCACAAGACATAAGCAACACTACTCACAGAGTGCAGCCATCATGGCACAGTTTTGGGAAAACCTGGGTTGTAGAGCTACTGTTAGTGGTCAGCTATGATGCACAAATGCAGACTCACACAAGATTGAGCTCCTCTTGATAGGCTTGCGCACTGATACTAGTAGAGGTGTTGTTGCTCATTGTGAGTGTTCTTCGAAGTGCAGATGTCGTACCAGTGCCGGAAATCCTAACGACTTATAGTGATGTTTGAGGGTTATATTTGTGCCATATCATTCACCTTTATCTGTCAATAGGATGACATACGCAGCACTGACCTTCATTCCATATGATGGAATGATGAGGAGAGCGCCCCACTGTTGTCATCCAAATGTCAATAGCATGCGATTCGCACCTTGTATATGCACCCGATCAATGCACATCAGAGATCCGTCAGCATTTCGTCCACAACCATGAGCCAGCAGACTAATGGATACCCACCCGTACGACAAGCCAGGGCCCCTCCGTTATCGTTGATTGCCTGCAACGGTCGACGGCGGCACATGACTGAATTCCTTGTATACGTGCGCAATGCACGCGCAGCAGTCTTCCATTTTGAGGAAGTCGAAGTTGACGGAGGCGGTGTGATGGCTTGTCCGGCGGCGTCATACTCGAGCTAGTGATTTATGTCAAAGTCGTATCATGCCACAATATGCACTTTCATTGATCGGAACATTTGAGAACAGCTCCTGTCACCGGCACCCGTATCTTCGTTTCTTCGCCGAAGGGAGTAGATGCAGTGTCAGTAACCGACGCGCTCGTATCTTGACCGACAAAGATCTCACCTGGCCTAGTATAGAGTCGTACGAGGCCGCCCACATGGTTCATTGTATCACGCGAACTTGAAGCTTGTTCCGTGGCAAAACTGCCTGACGATTCAGCTGCCAGGAACGACTCCAAGCTCGGAGCCGCAAGGCAGCGCGCACCATCGGTGCATCAGGCTGTACGCCCCAATGGTCTCAGTCAACCCTTCTAGATTTCGTGTACAATTTTGTACCTTTCATCTAGACTTTCAGCTACTAACATTGCACTACAAATTCCCTGTGACAGTAGTGCCCTACTGTACTGTAGTCAATTGTAGTACAATGTAGTACACCGTAGTCTAGTACACCGTAGTCTAGTACACCTCACTGTTGTACAAGCCAATGGTGTAACTTAATGTAGTACAACCGACACCAGTACAACCCTGTGTAGTACAACCCAGTGTAGTACAACCCAGTGTAGTACAACCCAGTGTAGTATACACCACTGTAGTACAACTGAATGCAGTACACGCCAATGCTGTTGTACACATTGCTGTTGTACAAGGTGTAGTACACGCTAATCTAGTACCGTACATGCTACAGTAGTACATGCTATATAGTACAAGGCAAAGTAGTACAGCCTCTGTCGCTGAACCGGTGTCGACAATATCACCCATTCTCCGAGTCTCACCACACCATGATCTAACCTCAATTATATGCTGCGTCTTCCACCGTGTCTGCAGCATTCACTGCCAGAGGTGTGACTCCATATGTCACGTCAATCCATTCCGACTCTGGAAAGCGCGCCCGTGCTTCCCGAAGAAGCCGTGAATACATCGCCGCTTGTCTATCAAGATATTAACCAGCAGCCTATCGGAAGGCTTTCAACGCACCTCGCCGCGTAGGCAGCCGCCCCTCGCTCTTCTTGGTTACTGCAGAATGTGGACGCGCGTGCATCCCACAACCGCATGAAATATGCGAAGAAACGTTGGACCCGCCGCATTTCTTCCTTCACAATCTCGACTTCTTCCCTCCAACGTGCAGTCCGCGCGCTCGCGCGAAACCACTCTACACGTGTAGCTGGACGATACCTTTGTCATACCGTATTCATCGACTGCTACACTCCCACTCACCTTCCAGCGCCCACTTCTCCAGACTCGACCCATGGTACGTCTGGTCTCGCCAGATCCAACACACAGACTCATGCTTCCTACCTGGTCGTTCTTCCGCGATTACAGGTGGACGACAGTCCTCCTCTCGCAGGGGCTCTAGGGTACATGGGTTCCCCGTGCACGCTATTCGGGCAACCTTCAGGCGAGTGAATTCGTACTCTTGGCGTAGAGACTCGATTTTCGATCTTTCAGTTGCCCTTAGTTTCGAATACCTGGTGTGCGCCTGTTGACCGAAGGTACCGGCGTTCTGTTGTTTGTAGAATGCCTCAAAATGAAGCTTCTGGCGGACTTTCCTCAGCGTATCGTGCGCGTGAGCTTCCCGCAGACGTCGTTCAGCCGTGAGTAGGGGCGCGAACTCGGCCAGCCGACGGATGACGGAGGGGTATGCAGAGGGCACTAGGATTGTTATGTCCTCTGCGTGGCCCGCCGTACTTCCCACCCATCCGCTCTGGTCAAGTTGCGCCTCTAGGGACAACAACTGGGCGCCCATGACCCGAGCCTGCCATATGAGCCAGTCCTTGATCTCCCCATTAAGTTGGTCGCGTTCGTTTTCGATGTCATTGAACAGCTCCGATGACGGTTCCTTCTCGTATGCCACAACCTTGGCCTTCAACATCCTTCTACGTACACATCGTCAGCACTGCCCAACATCCGTCGTGCCTCACTCACTGCTTCCGCTCTAGGTCCAATGCGGTCATGAGAAGTTCACCTAAATCACGTGGGTTCGCGTGAGCATTCGGGACCTCCTCCATTTCGTCCACCTTGCGCTTGATTGCGTGAGCCTGCATTTCAGCCTCAAGACCAGATGCATGTTCCGTCTTGAGCTGCATCAGGATGTCTTGCGTGGTTGGCGCTGCAGGGAGTGAGTGTCGTGTAGATGAGAGTTGCGTTTTACTTACCTTCGTCTGGGGCAGGCTGATAAGGGTTCTTGAGCTTGTTCTTCGTGTCGAAGTTTCTGTCCGTCTGCTGCGCGATGTACTCGGCTTCTTCAATCTTCCACTGTGCGAGTGGCCGACCGTTTTTGTGCAAAGTGGCCTCCAAATCGTCGAGTTGTTCTTGGTGTTTCTGGTAAAATGTATGTGCGTCCGTGAGTTTGGATTGCAAATGTCGCGCTGTCCCGACATCAGAGGGTATTTTTCTTCACGTTCACATGAGACTCACCCAACTTGAACGTCTTCTGTGCATTAAAATCCGAGTTGTGTGCATCAATCACGTCTTGGCGATGACCTGGGCCCATCTCGCGGACCGAACGTCCGATGGCATTCAGCACCGCCCAACGGCGCTCTACAGATTCCCCATCTGTGTTACCGACACCAGGCGTGTAGTAGAAAGAGAAGAAAAAGCGGCACAGCCCCGTATGCGACGCCAGGTGCCACTTAGGAACGCAGCGACGGATGGCAGGCCATGCCTCTCTGGCCATCGAAACCCCTGGGATCGACGGTAGGACGGACGCGATGTTCTTGAGACGTGACCACCAGTTGATGCCATACTTGCAGTGGACGTCGTACGACCCAATCATGAGGAAGAGCGACAAAAACCACTGCAGGCCCGAGAGTGTGGCGTAATCAACGTTCGCATACCGCTCACCGACGTGTAAGTCAACGGTGCCGCAAGGGAGAACGAAGCCGTGCCGTGTGCACGATAACCCGACCTGCCCAGACTTGATCTTGCCCTTGTAACGATCGGAGAGGGCGTTGAAATTGCTGCACGTTCCGGTCTCGTCTTGCGCATCCGAGTATACCTGCATCTTCTCTAGATAGTCGCGATAATCCTTGCTGTTGACGTAGTATGCGGCACCATCCATCAGGGGCAGGTCTTCATGATCCATCTTCTTGTCGTGTTGGCTGAGGCTGAAATTCCCGTCCTTGGCGTAATGCAGTGCATCCTTGTACCGCTCGTTGTCAGGACGGTCTCTCCAGTTGACATCCATGTTGATGTCGGGGTGCGGACATGCCGGGCACCGCAAGGCTAGACAACCGGGGTCGAGCTTCTTCTTGACGTCAAGTGCAAACCGTTTCAAGGTATGGACATAGTGGAATTGTCGGTGCGCCGTCATGAACTCCCGATATCGATCCTAGGTACAAGAGGTCAGCCGGTTGCTGCATCCCGCATAACGAACATACCTTGACATCTTCAAAGAACGCATTTGAGGTCATTCTTCGCAACGTACCATAGAAGTCGTGTGCAGTAGTTTTGGCTTGGAACGTGAGATGGCTGAACAACCGGAGTACATGCACTGTGAAGACGGTCTGTGGCCGCGAGAATGACGCGGGCCACAAACCTGCATTCCACAACTGGATAGGACGCTCCTCGATGTGTTGATCCTTACGACACTCACAGTACTGAACCGACAACGTGTGAACGCCTGTCGTATGTACGACTGTTAATTTGCTCGGCGGGTCACCGAACGAGGAAGGACACGGACGCCCGTGGTGGCCGACAGAGAAGACGAGGCCGAGTTCACTCAGCTGCATACGCTCGAAGAAGGCTCCCGTCCATCGCTCTATGCGGTGTAGAGGGTTCCAAGTATGGGCGTTGATCATGCACGGGCGACAAAGGAGCGGGGCATTGAAACATTCCGTGCAGCGAAATGGAGCGTCCTTCGACTTGCATTGGTGGCACGGTTTGCCAATGTTTGCATCGGTGTCGCGACGCCGGAAGACATTGAGGAGCTTCTGCGCCCATGTCTCCAAGAAGGTGGCCGTAATGGAATGCGGGGTCTGTGAGCAATGTCAACATTACCGAGGACCGGTACACAATGGAACTCTCACAGCTCGTGGTTTCTTCGAGCTTCCCTCCTCTTCACGCGGCTGATCCTCGACAGTGGCCTCAGGAAGCTCGGGGTCTTGGTGGACCACATCCGCGGTGGCCAACGTCTCCAGCAGCGACGGCAACGGAGGCTCGGGTGGCAAAGTACTTGCTGTGCCTCGTTTCTCGACGCGCAGGCCTGGGGACAAGTACTCGGTCGTCTCCTTGCCATCGGCGCCGAGAGACAAGGTCGCTGGGCCATCGGGTATGAGTTCGCCGCCGTCATCCACATAAACGTACGTGTTCGTCTTCTGGCGCTTCCTTCGCGGCATCGAGTGTGGTGGGGGTACTCTCAGTTTGATCACGAACGTGTAGAGACCGTCACGATACCACCCGGCCACAGCGCCGGTCGCGATCGGAGCTCAAGAGTTGGACGTGTGGTGGCGCAGGGATATTTGCGGGGCAAAGCGATCGTGGCGGGTGGCGAACACTGCCGGTTAAAGCGGCCCTTCTGCGTCAAAGCGATCGTTGCCAGTGGCGATCGGCTGGGTCGACGTGTGTGTCGGGATGCTTTGACAGACACAGAGAGCACATTGGTCATTCGATACTGGGCACAACTCTACATGCAACAGAGAAAGCGTCGAAGGATCGCGTAGACAAGGCGGGCCGGGCGAAGGGTGGAATTAGCGGCGGCCGGCATACCTGCTCGCTGGATGACATGAATTTTTCGGAATGGGAGGAGCGAGCGCGCTACACGGGTTACATACCACTCAGGGGGCGCACAAGCCGCCTTGCATTCCAATGCGTGTCCGAATGGCGACTTTGATCGTGCTGTGTTGATCTGCACGAAATGAGAGAATGCGCGCAAGATAAAACAAGAAATACGCACAGATGTGGAACAACGGTGTGTAGCTCGGGAGTGGGATACCCCGGGCGCGATGATGTTCGAGGGGTGGGGTGATCCGTTGCTTCGGGGGTAGAGGTGACATGAGTGGACGGGGGTGTACTATGAGAGTGGAGGGGAGACGTGCCGGGGAGTGATCTCGCAACGACGCCTCAGGCTCGCCGACCTCGTCCTCGGTTCTCCAAGCCTTGCAAATCCCTCTGTTTCCGACTCGTTCCTTGGACTCTGTCCTGTCTCGACCTTGACCTCGTTCCGAAGGTGCCTCACTCTCGCTCTGCAGTCACTACGCTTGCTGAACTCGTTCCGTGGTCACCTCGTTCTCGTTCCGTGGTCGCCCTCCTTGTTCCGCAGGTTCCTGTGCTCGTTCCGCGAGCTCCTAAGCTAGCCCTGCTGATCCTTGTACCCGTTCTGCGAGCTCATATGCTTGTTCCGCGAGCTCCTATGCTCGTTCCGCGAGTTCCTATGCTCGTTCCGCGAGCTCCTAAGCAAGTCCTGCTGATCCTTATACTCGTTCCGCGGGGTCCTATGCTCGTTCCGCGAGGTCCTAGGCTCGTTCTGCAAATCCCTGTACTCGTTCCGCGAGTCCTTGTCCCCGATTACGTGGCGCTGCGTTCGTCCGAAAGATTCTTGACAGCCCGAGTAGATCACTGATGACCAACTCGGGGAGATGCCCTCAGCTCCAGAAAATGTGATAAGAATGGATGCGAGCCAGGCTCGCAGCCGTAGATTCGGAGTGGGGGCGAACTAAGGTATGTACATGTCTTCGTGCCACTGTATGCCGCAGAAAGCTGACTAAGAGTCCGTGGTTACTATATATGGTAACTAATGCGGAATCGTACCAAGTCCAATGAGTACAATATGTATAGGGTATCGGAAGGGGATAGAAAGAGTGGTATTTGTGATCGGAGGGAACAGCACGGCTCGGAGGGAGCTTAAATGAGGGAATATACGTACTGTCTGGGCCTATGTGGGGGCACTCCCCACAACGGATGAAGGGTGGTCACCGAACTCGAGACCGATTCGCGTATATGTTCAGGTGATGTTGCGCCTGATATGGCGGGAAGGCAAGGTCAGGTACATCGCGGAAACACAAAATGAATGTCTCACAGAGTGGTGCACTTCAGGTTTACGGACGTCTCATGCATGACAACCGGATAGATACAGAACGAGGGGTAGCCAGCAGGAACTGCGAGCAGTGGACATAAGGGAAATGATCCAGATACAACGAAGAGACTTACACATCTCAAGTGCATGTCTCTTGGAGGGATATGCCTGTAGGAGGCGTGTTAGGGCATACGAGTCAACGAGAGTCACTGTGCAAGACACACGGACGTCCGAGTTACCTACGAGGTGACAGAGGGAAATATCGGTCGGGATGGGGCACGGAGCGCTGGGAGAGAGACGAGGCGAGCACGGTAGTAAGTCCGCCCAGACCTTGGTACAGGGGGCAATGTGAGAACACGGCGGGAACACGGTCAGGCAGTACGGGCGCTCCTCCTCCTCGGTGCGGTAGACGCTGCCAGGCGCTTCCAGAGTCGAACTTGCACTTACATCTTCCACTCGCGCAACAGTGCCGACGCATTCTCTGGGTTCTCCTCACATTTCTGCTTCCGCTCTCGCTCCGAAACCTCTGAGGCATCGTTCTGCGACCAGGTTAGATTTCGATCTTCCTGCGCGAACGTGGCTAAGGCGCGGTATATCTGCGGCCTGGCTTCTCCTCGTCAAGCTCCAAGCTGCAAGACACGTCGTCGACTGGCACACTACAAGATATCTCGTGAACCTTCAAGTATTCAGACATTTCCCGCATTTACACGGCCTACGCCAGTCTAGGAGAGCCGAAAGACGCGTACTACGTAAGTCTGTGCGTCACAGTATGCCTTGCGGTGTTAACCTGCGTTTCGCCACTCCGTGGGACCACCTACATCCTCATGTCCGGGGCGACTCTGCTACACGTCTCCTGAGTGAGTATGCATCACTTATTTTGGCGCAGAAGGCTGCTGATGCGTGGGCCGGTAGAGTCAGCTTGCCTCAGACTGCCCGCTGTGAGCACGTCGTCACTGGAAGTGGGACCGAGAACGAAGGCGGTGTAAGTAGAACGGACTACTCATCAAGGTACGGATCACTCGTCCTATGGGCTGAAAGGTTTTTGACGCACATCGGCGTGCAGACGATTCTGTTGGCGGCGGTCCGACGACGTCGCACGCTTGGTGTTTGTTCATTTGACGTGATGTGCAGGTATGAGGCCCGTGTCTTTCGTTGAGCTCACTGAATTGATTCATCAATGACTCACGCCTAGCATCGTAAGATATGGCGGACGCGAATCTTCACCGGCCTATTCAAATCACCGCGTTCGTGCTCACAGCGTCACCGGAATCAGGTATGTACGGTGTTCCAACCTCGGGCTTCCTTCGCTTTATAATGAAAACATCTGTAGAATGGGGCTTGAGCTTGGGCCCTTTCGAAGCGAAGTGCGCAGCAATTGCCGATGACGACTGCAATGTCATTACCACACCCTGCATGGACTGGATCCCCGAGTTTCCGCGAATCTCCGGGCGAGAGATCGTTACATTTAGTGACGGCCTCTGGGGACCGCAGGAGTACACACGCTGGCCTCAGTTGTACAACGAACGATGCATTCACCACGCCTGTATCCCCCTTCGAGGGTCCGAGTATGCGCCGGGGTCGCAGGTGTACGAAGGACTGGGTTACGATCCGTGGGAGGAGTCGAGGACATGCGGTGTTCTCGGGTTTGGGTATCTGAAGGGGGAGATCCTCACTGAAATGTGCACAATCGCAATCGCGGTCATTTCACGTTACGAGGGGGCTGAAACCGCCGCGCGGCGTCGCGACCCAGGGACTTTCACTGCCTCATCAGGAGTTGATCGACGGCTAGGCGCGATGTTATGCCTCCTCCTGAGGAATGCTGTGGACCGTCTCAGAGCACTCCCCAGCACCGACCTGCACGCTCTAGTCACCGCCAGAATGGCTCACCGTCTGATGCTCGAGCTGTCCGGTCTGACGGTTTATTATACCTTCATTGTCACTCGGATCGCCAACACACACACCCATGCCACCTCTGTGTTGAAGGTCCTTGGCGCGTTCGTCCGAAACGATACTGCTGCCCAACTCTTTCATCGTATCGGCCTTCCATTTTGGTACATACGGCCATGGACCGCTGGGCTCTGTATCCGCCGGGTGGTCAGACCTCGTCATTGGAATACCGAACTCAAAGACGAACCAGCCTGGCCCCGCGTGCCGAAGTCATGGTATGACCCCGACGGTACACATCCATCAGGAAAACCCTCTTTTAGGAATAACAATGAATATCATATTATTACTGCGAAAAATGTGTAATTGTAGCCATTCACGTGTTCGCTGTAGTAGTGCTTTATTCGCTATGGTCCCGACCTCGACTTGCGAATAACAGGATATTGTGGCGAATGCAGTCGGTATTAGAGGACAGGTTCCTCACTATTATATGGATCATTGTTTTTATTCTTAGGGTTCGCAGCACATTCCGCAGACACATAGGTAGGAGAAAAAATGGAATGCATTATAATGTACTGTCGGTGATCCAATTCAATACAGCCAGCAAAGGCTACTCGTGATATATACTTGTCCACTACTCGAAATCAATCCCTATTGTACTCGTACCCACCTGTATACAGGCCCGCCAGAGCGGGTAAGAGTTTTGCGCGGGTGAAGGGGGTTTGCGGGTCCACAGGTAAGCGGGAGCATGAGCAAGAGAGACAGGGAACGGGACAAATGGGCGAACGAGGGGCACGTGAGAGCGTCAGCGAGAGAAAGTATAGATTAGACACAGACAAGAGTGGGTAGACAGCTTGATCAGATGGACTAGCGAGGGCGCGAGCAGATGCACGAGCAAGAGTACGGGCGAGAGGGGCGTGGGCAAAAGGGTGTGCGAGTGAGAGGGTGCGCGGGCGAGAGGGTGCGCGGGCGAGAGGGTGCGCGGGCGAACGGGCGAGAGGGTGCGCGGGCAAGAGGGTGCACGGGCGAGAGGGTGCACAGGCGAGAGGGTGCGCGGGCATGTGACAGAGCGAAGAATATGGGCATATAAGACCAGCGAGAGTAGGCGGGCAGGCAAGAGCCAGTGGATGAGCCAGAGGACCGATGAGCCACCGAGCGAGCAAGTGAAACCATAGATGGGCGGGCGAGAGGGTAAGTCTTATGGCAATAGGGCGGACAGAGAGGCGAGAGCGAACGTGCAAGAGGGGACGACTCTGACCAGTGACCAGACAAGCGGTGGCGCGACAGATGGCAGGCGGGCGAGCAGGCGAACAGGCGGGAGAGCAAGAGGGCGATGGGTAGACAAGGTTGTTGGTAACACACTTGTAGGTAGGCGAGAGAGAGAGCATCTGACAGCCAGGTCGACGCGCAAGTGCGTCGCGGCTGGTGAGCGAACGAGAAGGGTAGTAAGTACAACGAACATACCGTCGAGCCTTCCCACACTCTTCCTAGGTGCTCATGCTTGTGTTTCTTCGCCTTCCTCTCATACCCTTGCCTCTTTGTTCCACTCTTGTCGCGCTCGACGCAATCCTGTCGCTCGGAACCGGTCCTTCATGCGCGGTGCGTGAGTCCGAGCCCGCATGATCGTGCTACGGCTTACCAGAGCCACGCAAGCGGTGCGTTCGAGTCGAAAGAGACGGGGAGAGACGGAGAATGGGAGGGACAGAGAATGGGGAGGGGCAGAGAATATGGCTTGTCGTGAGAAGTGCTAAGCGCTTCAGCCACGACACGTCACACGCGCTCGCCGGACTTCGAGTCTCTCACAGTCCGCCTTCAACGTTCAACGTTCAACGTCAGACCCCTCCTCCCTCTCTGCTTAGCCCTTGTTTGCCCGCCGCCGACCTCCAGTACACACTAAGCGGGCCCGTGCACAAGAGAGCGCGTGCATCGGGCTCCTGCACGGCCCAAGATCGCGCTGTACGCGACCGCAACAAGCCCCAGCGACGCGTCAAAAGCATCGCCGGAGGCTCGCGAAGGATTAGCACGCGGGGAGGACAGGGAGTTGCGGTCAGCACGGCGCGAAACTCAGGTGAGTGCACCGCCTTGTCAGCTCGACGCTGTAGCCGACCGCGGCACATCCATTCGTTTTTTTGCTTATGTACTTACTACTGATCAGCGGGCTGGCTGGTCCGCCGGCCTATACTCTCACCTATCCACTCACTCGCGCACCCACTCTCCTGTGCACCCATCCGCCCGCCATCCGAGGGACTGTCCGCTCCGAGAGCAAGTCTCACAAGATCGTGCCACTCGCCAAATTCGGCGCTAATGTCGTTGTCGAGGGCATCGCCAAGGTACGCACCTTCCTTGTCATCGTACGTCCGGCACTCATGTTCAACGATTGCGTTGTACGCAACTGCAACGAGCCCCAGCGACGCGCTAAGAGCGTCGTTGGAGGCCCGTGAAGGGTTCAGATGCAGGGAGGAACGCGGGCTGCGTCCAGCAGGGCCAGCGGGTCAGGTGAGCACCCCGCTTTTCGTCTCGACTCCGGGAATGCCCATCAAGGACGAGTGGATGGAGCCTAACACCGTGACACGACGGAGACAGCCCCAGCGCACGTTTACCCAACAAGTGCAAGTACATACAGATACGACGTGCACCGGTACGACAAGGGCCAGCTCGCCGCACCAATACGATGTGATCAAGCCCGGTACAACACAGCTCATCGACCGAGTATCAGCGCGCGTAGGCTTGTTGAGTACGGGTACGCCACGGCGTCCTCTTATTGTTTTGTCTGCTAACTCGCTCGCTCGCCGACTCGATCACCCGCTCTCGCCCTCGCCCTCGCCCTAGCTCGCCCACCCGCTATTCCACTCGCCCGCCGATTCACGTGTCCGCTGCCCCCCTTACCTGTTGTTGAACTCGCTGTCGCTCCCCTCGCCCGCCGTCCTGCTCGCCCACCATCTCGCTATCCCGCCGTCCCTCTCACTCATCTTCCTCTCTGTCCTGCCCGCCCGCCGTCTCGCTTGCCGACGCGGACCCTATACCTGCTGTGGCGGATTTGTACCTGCTTGGGTATATGCATGGGCCGAGGATACTCATAGGTATATTTGTGCTCGGCCCCAGGCGAACGACTCCTGCAGTCCCGAATGATGTAGTTTCGACCCTTGAGCTCAATACTACGCAGTCCATAGTTGTATAGACAATAACTACCCAGTGATATGAATACATGCAAATTATTGCACATGCGAGGAACAAGGACCGACTTCGGAGTAATACTCGCGAATACGAGAGGTGTGATGGTTGGATTCATAATGGCAAGGTATTATTGAGTGTTCTGCCGTGTTCCGCGTATTATTGACAATTTTAGAACATTACCACGAATTACGCAAAGAGGGTTTTCCTGATGTCAAGACCCGGGACGCTGGACGCAACCTACAGTGCTCTTTGTCAGCAATCTTCTGTGCTCCTCGGCGTTGCCTCGGCTTCAGGTCGTCCCTCGGGCTGACGGCGCGGAAAGCGAAGCGAAACGGTTCAAGGGCGATGACTTGACTGAGGCGATTCTGTCTGGGCCCAAGGCGCCACCTCAGACGCGCAACTCGAAGAAGAGAGGTAAACGCACGCGCGCGGGTCGAGCAGAGAACTTGCGGGAACCACACCCTGCGACCACTTACAAAGCTCCTCCTGTCGAGCTCGTCACCGTCAGTTCGAACTGGATGGCTGCCCTCTCCGATGTGTCTCCATTGCTATTCCCTCCGCCCGTCGCCCTCGAGTACTACTTCCCACCGCCCTTCGTCATTTTCCAGGCTAGCACTCACAAAGCACGTTACCTCCATAACTTCACCCGCATCCGTGAGTATTGCCGGCACCGTCTCGTGGACTCCGCAATCAATGACACGCCATTACGCATCGCCGATTGGCGTCATGCTCTCTATGGCGATTATCGTGTCGACGAGCCTGGCGAGACCGACAACACTGCCAGTGGCGTTGGACCACCGCGGAACGACAACCCATCGGAGGCACAGAAGCGCAAATATCTCTACGAGCGTTCACAGTGCCTACGTCGCCTGTTCGCCAAAGGAGGATCTCTTATGTCGTACAACGAAGTAGACGTGTCGTGGTATCGCGGGATGAAAGTCAGCGTCGAGGTGGCGAAAACTAACCAGTGGTTCCAGAAGCTGGTGCTTTGGGAGCTCTACGAAACGAACTGGCGTTGCGAGTTGCGCGCCCTCGACAGCCTCCTCGTCAACCATTCGGACGACGCCTTTCGCCAGTGGGAACGTGCACAACGTGTTGCTGAAGTGTGGCGCTCGTCGGTTCATCAAACCGCGTTCTCGGTTGTTGATGTCTCATCTCCCGCCTTCTGTTGGACACCGGCAGGCGACGAAGGTTGGCGGGGTCGGCGAGCGAACCTTCAGGCGTTATTGCGGGTCATGAGTGCGTGGCCACAGGTCCCCGAGATGGTGCGAGCAAACGCGACCACTATCGGGGAATGCGACGACCCGGAGCACTTCGACGCGGTCGAAGCCACTGCGCTCAAGTTCTACGTCAAAGTATTCGCATCTAAGTTTTACCGTCTGCCATGTCCCCCTGTACAGCTCGTCTCTCGCGCGTAGTGTACCCTCTGTGTTCCATGCTGTGTATTCTCACCAATTTATTACCTCGCATTGCCTTGCGACACCACTCATGTGCTCTTTGTCCTAGCCCCTGTCCCTGTGTGGCTTTGTTCGAACCACGCTCTGAACCCACCGGTGGTAAACTAAGTGCCGTTTTTGTCAGCTCGATGTGGCACACTGCTCACTTTGTTTCATTGCTTAGCGATGCTCCGGGTGGCCCGTCGGTGGCACCCTTTTAAATGCAGGTGAGCAGAACAACTCCCCCGTCTCTGGTCTGCAAACTCACCGATCATGCGTCGCAAAGCTGGTCCCCCGAAGTGCTACACTTGCATTGTCGATCCAGCGCGTGGGATCGATCAACACTCTTGGTTGGTCGACACCGCTCTCGCCGCCTGGAAGGCTGCCGGACCGGACGGCAACTACAACGACACGGCGCGGACCGTCGCCACTCAGTTCACCGCGCAGTTCGATGAGAAGGTCCTCGGCATTGTCGCCGAGCCTGGCGAACCAGTTCGCCTCGAGACCGAGGCAGAGCGTGCTAAGCGATGCGGCAATCCTCGGAGGGTATGTTTGGTGTATTATCATGGTTCTCGTTCGTGACTGAGCCTTCCCAGGGCAAAATAGTCAAATGGATGGAAAATCACCGCGCCTGGATTGAAGAACAAGTCTCTACGACGCCGCGCCTCCTCGAAATTCCTCCACCCCCACAGCAGCCTGTGAAGCGTCGCAAGCGAGCCGCAAGTGCGCGAGACTTCTGGATCCGTGCCCATCCCGAGGTAGCCAAGGCTGCCAGAAAGGCAGGGGCCGCCAACGGAGTGACGAGGGGCGGTGACCTGTCAAAGCTGGCTGCCGTGGCTCAGTCGGCGGCAATCGAGCGAATGAAGGTCGACGATCCCGAAGGTTGGGATGTCTTCGAGCAGGCTTCCGCGCAAGCCAAGCAGGCTATGCGCGAGACTAGGGCAGCGAAGGGAAAGGGGAAAGCCAGGGGTGAGCAGGAGAACGAAGAGGACACGGATGAGGAGGATGAGCCTGAGGAAGAGGATGAGGAGGACAATAGCAGCGCGGCAGCCCTGGATGAGTAAGTTGTATCTTTTGCAACACATGTGGTCCTGACATTCATGGTTTGTAAGGATTCGGACGCGCCTCCGATTCACTGCGCGGCGAAGTGTCGACGGATGGGCCAAAGAGTCAGATACCGAGATCTTCATGTACATCGGATGGGTGGATGCAGAGGGACGTGCACGGAAATTCACGTAAGTTCCTCGTTCCTCGTGAATGTAGCCTAGCTAACTGCGCTAAGTGCAAGTGCAGGGAAAGGCGGGCATGACCATCTATCGACATACATCAAGAACGAACGCATCGCCGACAAGATGGACGAATACATGCTCAAGGCCCGCGATCTCGAGCTGCGCCCGGTGAACGGCCACATGGGACCTAGGCCTGGAGGATCCACTGTCCACAGCAGTCCCGCTGCCAACCAACCCTCCGAAGAACTTTCGGAGGCTTCAACGGTCGCCCAATCGGGTAACTCTGCCACCGCCGAAGGCCCCATCGGCGTTCAACAGGCGCCAGATCATCAGCAACTCTCCGAAGTGGCCCGGGAGGTTGTCTCTGTCGAGCTCGCCGGCGACCCGCCCGTGGAAGACGTCTCTGTCAGTGGGGATGCTCGCCCCTCGAGCGGGGAGCAGCATGTTCCCGAGGATCGTGACGCGGAGACAGTCGACCCGCCCGCCGCTCCACTGACACAGCTCAACCAAGGTTTCGATCACTCCGGACTGTCTGTCGAGCCTGCCGACGACCCGCCCGCGGAGGTGATCCCTGTCAGCCCGGATGTTCGACCACCAAGTGCCGAGGAGCATGTTGACGAGGAACGCGAGTCGGAGAGCATCGACTCGCCCGCTGCTCAACTGCCACCTGACGACGGTGCTATCGCTGGCGAAGAACAATCTCATGAACGTGAGACGGTGACGACGGAGGCCCCTGCCACTGACGTCGATGTCGTGGCTGAGGCAAGCTCCGCAGACCACGATCACACTTCTGTGCCTGGCGACGAAGATGCACCTCCCGCAACTGGGAAGAAGGTCCACAAGGGTAAGAAGGGTAAGAAGGCAGACCGCTCTACCAAGGGTCGCAAGAACGGACGTGAGGCGGAGGCCCATGCTTGTCAGGTGGAGTCCACGGTTGTTCGCGCAGCAGGGCCTTGATTACCTCACTTTGCGTAATGCAACTTGACCAACTGGGTTTGATGGATGCCGATGAGGCTATGCGGAGTTCAGCCGATACGTCTCGAAGATACAACGCAAGACGTACTTGACGTTTGATTCTCCACAGCGCGAACGATGCGCCGGCAGGTCGGGTGACCACGACAAATATACCCAGACACAACAATGAATTCGTGCTCCACGCACGTTGTCTATATTACCTGCCTGCTTGAGTGCAGCATGCACGATGGCGTGACGAGCTATAAGGGGCGAAACAAATAATCCGCATATGGGGAATATGAGACACCGCTATGCATAGCATATATAGCACTCGCCTGGACGACGTAGCACGCTCACTGCCTCAGTCAAGGCCCATGGCGAGGACGATTGGCTCCCGTCTGGTAGCAAAGGCGAATGTCAGTCATGACGAAGTCCTCGAGAGGGAGTACGATGATGCTAATCAACGTGGCTGCTTCCAGTTGCGACATCCACCGCCGGAGCAGAAATGGCACGAGGATTGAGCCGTGTACGCTTGTTGGAATGCGAGACGGGGGCCATTCGTACGCCTTGAGGGGTGCGTCGGTGCCGTAGAGGAGCTCCCATCACAGTATCTAAAGGACGGCATCCCGTATTTTCGGAGTCAGGATGTGTCGTCGTGTGGTGAGAAGGCGTAGGGAGAAGTGGCCGCTCCGCCGTTAAGGTGCGTGGCTCGGATATTGGCTCTGTCATCGACGTTGGGTCGTTGTACTAGTACGGCACAGAATATCCAATTGCTCACCAACTATCACTCCTCGACGCGCTGCATGGGATCCGCACTCCGAGTGTTCAACAATAAGCACACGTCGACCTGTATGTTCCCTTTGTGCGCCCAGACAGCGTGTGCGGGGACAATCGCGCTGTTTTAGAGAAATGCATCAATGGTTCGGCGAAGTACATCGCAACGCGAAATGTGTGACTTAGCTTGTTCGGGAGTTGTACCCGGTCGCAATTCACACTGCTCTAAAAGCGTCGAACCTATCGTCGAAGGGAATGATGAGGTTTTGGTTCAAAGCCTCATCACCGGAACGCCGAATAACGCGGCGTGCAATTTCATACAGCCTGAGGCTACCAGTCGTCTGGGCGCGGATACGTACCTAAGCAGCTAGCAAAATAACTCCAACTCGGTACACGGGCCACGTATAGCATCGACTATTGCATGAGATAGTTGTGGTGGTATAACCCTGAGTGTAGATTGCTGTACGTGTCTGAGTCTCGCCGCTGCTGGCCATGGCAGATGCGCATGCGCATGCGTGGCCGCGGCGTCTGTTCCTCCTCGGCTCTTGCCGAGCGTTCCTCAGCTCGTGCCAGCTGGCTCGTATTAATATTTGTGTGAACGCTCTACACATTCGCTTATGCTCATCAACCACCTGCCTTGTGGCAAGTTGTGCAACCGTAGCACCCTCGTCAGCCCACCCACTCACGCTCGAGAGCGCAGCATCATACAGTACGATGTTGCACGACCCGCGCAGGTACATATAATAGCGTCGGTGCGTGTCCTCCCCGTCCATGCCCAAGGCGGCTCAGCGCTCACCCAGATTCTGCTGCGACGCGTTTGGACGACACCTGTCTGCAGTGTGTGCCATACCTACTGCGTCTAGAATCAAAGCTCAATTTCGGTCGCCTCGTCGCACGCACACTCGTCCCTATTCTTGTCAACCACCTCACCGACGCGTCCATCTGCGGTTCCGAATACTAGTGCCTCCAGGTGGTTCGTGCGGCTTCTCTGAGGCGCTCGCGCGTTGTCTCCTACGCTGTCCTCCTGGCTCTTTGCGTTGGTGGTACTTATCTTCTACACCCTCGATGCGCAAAAGTTGTTATGATAATGTGACCAGCACCGTCAACGTTCTTCTTAGCCTGTGCGATCTTGTTGTGCTGGCTCTCCTCTATACGCAACGCGAAATCCTTTCTGGGTTTATGTCGTCATCCGCCATGGACAAGTCTCGCAAACTCAGAGGTGGAGTCGTCTTCACTTCGAATTTGATTCTTTATGTCGCGTGCCTCCAAATTGCGCACATGTTGGCTGTTCAGTATGCTCATGTTTGATAGACTCGACGTCTGACCACCGCCGCTCCAGGCCCCTCCGGCAGTATGTCTGATTCTTCCTGAACTCCGACAATGACACTGATTTATAGGCGCAGAATCATGACAGTCTCCCGTTACTGGAGGAAGCGTTCTCATCATGGCCCTGTCCTCGAAGAAGCGCTATTGGGAGGACTGTATCATCGAGTTGTCGTCTGTGAACTCCGCACCACCTTGGGTTAGCTAGTGGTCAAAGGCCGCACTGTATTTGACCGGCATGCGCCACGCAGATCTTCCGAGGGCACATCGGCGACTCGGCTCGTGTGGTCCCTCTGCTTTGTGTGGTCGGTCCTGCTTCGTGTGGTCGGTCCTGCTTCGTGTGGTCGATCCTTACTAATGTCGGCGGCCATGAACGGATTTCAATGAATCACAAAGCTACACTGTGTCTCGGCCAGTCAAACTTCGTTGTTTATCGCCTCGTTACTGAGTACTGAAGCTCGAAGGCACGGAATAGGGTGCGCGACTGTTTCTGAGTTCTGTTCCTTGGATGGTTTATTTCGGTATGTGCATGGAATTGCGTCCTTCCACTAGCTGAACCTTAGGCGATATGGAACAAGCAAACACTGCAAATCATTGGACAGTCTCCTGTGGCAGATACAAGTTAAGTAGCATGCCAGCGCCACGGGAGGTACATCCGAAAGTACTTCCATCGCAATGCCACCAGGCCCACATGAAGACCAATCCTTCAAGGAGCGAGCCGAACGTCAAGCCAGCAGCAAACAGATACTGCTCGCGTATGACAGAGCCAACGCTGTCATGCAAGGATGCGGTACGCTCGGCGATCGTGATACGTACGCAAGCTTGACCTGACGTCTTCCTGCAGGGTTGACCCTGGAGGATATCGAGACGTGCTCTCTGCGTATCTGGGATATACACAAGTATCCCGCCATAGCCCTGGACATAAGCTGTGCCAACATCCTCGCATGCAGCTACAACCTCTTCCTTGGCACAATTGCGCCCATGGTTGCTTTGCGAGCGGACTTGGAGCCGCTGGTGGAGTGCATACTGAAAGGCGAAGTCATGGGGAACTTCATGCTCACAGAGGTCGACCACGGCTTGGACATCACAAACCTGGAGACGACGGCGACAATGGTAGCGGATGGATTCCTGCTGAACACTCCTCACCCGGGAGCAGCTAAGTGAGTACTCCGTGCGAATGGGCTAGCTGTGTGACTGACAGGACATACCGACGCAGATTCTTCCCTCCCACAGCCCCGATCTGTCCCAAGGTGGCCGTCGTTTTTGCCAGGCTCATGAGTCATAGTGGACGGCGCGTTCCGGGGCATCCACCCGTTCCTCTTGCAGACTTCTCACAAAGGCGGCATGTGTGCAGGCGTCGTTTCGAAGCTCCTTCCCCCGAGATGCGGTACATCGCCACTGGATTACGCCGTAACGTCCTTCCACAACGTCCGCCTGCCAATGTCAGCCTTCCTCGGCGTCAGCACGGACGCACCCAGGGATGGACACGGTCTCCTTCACGCATACGTATGGCGCACCGTCGTAGGACAAGTGACTATTGGGGTTATTGCTTTGACCGGCATGAAGGCGGCGTCGTACATCGGTGTTGGATACTCGATGAGACGACGTGTGCAAGGCAGGGGGTCGGCGAAGGTTCCAATCATGTCCTTCCGCACGCAGCAGCTGCCCATGTTGTACATCACGGCGAGAAGTCACGTTCTGGACGCGTGGACTCCGGTGCTGTTACGGCAATTCACCTCCCCCGATCTATCCACTTCCGTTCGCCAGGGTCTGGCCGCGGTGTACAAGACAACGGTGTGTCGACTCATGACACAGTACTGTCGGGAGGTCGGCGAGCGGCTTGGTGCGCAGGGCACATTTGTGCATAACATCATCGGACGAATCGAGGTACCGTCGTTCACATAACGCTGCTTCCCGAGCTGAAATGTCTGCCAATTGCACTAGATGGACATAGCGGATTCAGCATAGCGGAGGGAGATATCATGACGATCGGCATCCGTCTGTTCTCTCACCTTCTCCAGAAGCGGTACCATCTGCCTGCGCCCTCCCACGACGACAGTATACTGTCACTGCATAGCAAGTGCGTATATGACCATTGCCTAACGATGCTCCAAGGCTTCCCCGAAGGCCACCGCGACGCGCGCTTTAACAGCTTGATACTACCACAGTGCCATCGCGGCGTATTTGCCCTCGGATGCGCATATGCCTATGGATGCGCAGTCGATGCTGGTGTACCACAACCGCTGCTCGAGCTCTTCCAGTGTGCGGCGATCAAGCAGGACCCTCTCTGGTATATGCAGCATGCAGCGTTCTCTGAGGACATGCTCCTGCTGAAGGAGGATAGCGCCGTGCGCGCCGCGTTGCCAAAGATTCAGGAGTACGTCGATCAGTTCGATATCAGTGGCGCAGCGGTCAACGTGCCAATATTGGGCCGCGATGGACTAGAAAGCTGGATGGCTGGTCTCGAGACCTATACGACCAGTGGCGTGCAAGGGATTGAATTTGGAGGGGCGACGGTTCGTGGATTCCGCACGTCCAACAGGAATGCCACTGACCAGATGCTATGTTCCGCAGGCACCGAGACGCGCGTCGTATGACTCGAAATATAAGCTATGACGGCGTTGTCCGAGCGACTGTGGACCAAGCCTGTGCTGCATGGGATTGCATGTAATTCTCGTCTCAACAAGTCTGTTTTGTCCTTGCCGTCCTGGGTCAATGAGGCGTTGAACAGGACCAACGTTATCGGGCCACGCTTATGCATCAAGTGGCAATAACTGTCGGTGTCGGCGCAGAATTCATCGCCCCTAGTACATTGCCCAACTCACAATGTTTTCCTTCTCGATCGATTTTGTGTCAGGATGCACCGTTCGGTAAATATACAAAGAGACCCCCCCAGGAGCCCTCGCTCTCTAGACATCTAGACTGACTTGTAGCACTGATGCCACCCTCTCCAGTCGACGGATATCGTACAATCAACTATCTACGGATCAAGAAGCCATGTACCGTTTGTATTCCTGCAAGGTGCGTGCACCTCTTAGTGTCTAGCGGTCGCTGTAATCATGAGTGGATGCTTGAACACAGTCGTTCGCATGTTGAGGCACCCATCCAGCCATTTCTCCTCGTCGAAACCAGGGGCAAGGCGCATGTCAAATGCAAGCACAAGCTTCGCGACGACCAAGTGGAATTCGCGGACGGCAAATGCCCTGCCCAAGCAGCTGAACGGGCCTGTTCGCGAGCGTAAGTGCGCATCTCCGTGATACGCTGCAAATGCACTGACCGAACGAGAAGCACATGATCGCGTGCTTATTGGTGACTGTCGACGGACCCAGGCCATCGCCCTCTGGTGCCCATCTCTCGGGGCGGAACTCCATAGGATTTGGGTAGAAATTTTCTGTGGAGCGCGATTCCTTCAGTATGTACTTCGTCTGCGTGTCAAGCCTACTCACCTGGGCTAGTCTGTTGAACGTATGCCGGTACCCCAACGACCGTGTCCTCGGGAATGTACTTGCCCTCGATCATCATTCCGCCTTTCGCCACCACGCGTGGCAGACCCGGGAAAGGCGTGCCTAGACGCAAGCCTTCGTGTACGACGCCGAACAAGTACGGAAGGTCCATCAGTTTCTTCCAGTCATTAGCCTCTTCAGGCAAGGAGAACTGCTGGTCGAGTTCCGCACGTAGCTTGGCGTAGGTCTCCTGGTCTCTGAGTAGATAGAACATTAGCAGAGTGAAGCTACCAGCGATCGTATCGGATCCTGCGAGCCATTAGCGACGTCTGGTAGTCAGGAATATGATCAGGCCTACCAGCGACGATGGCGAAAGTGGCATCAAGATCAAGTTCGATGTCACTGAGGCGTTCGCCACCCTGTTCGCCGAGCTACGATGCGATGAATCAAAGATGGTAACAAGATGTGCTCGCGCGAGACATACCAAGTGAGCAGAGATATCTTCTTGACCGGGCGCATTCTTACGTTCGACCATAATGTTCCTGGAGATTCTGTCCAGAGCATGCACTTCCTTCGTGACCGGGAGGTACCATAGAACGTCAAAGAGCGGTGGCGCCTCTCCGAGGCTAGTTCGTGTCAGGAAAAGAGCATTACTCAGGAGAAAGTCACGAGATACTGACATCTCGAAGACGACTGTGGCATTTTGTGCGCTTTCTACCACGCCATGCGGATCACCATCTTCCATGAGTTCCTTCACAGTATCGTCAGGCATGTCCTCTGATGCCATGATAGTGCATCTCACCGTTCTGGATGCCTTCCCAAATGTAACATCTGCCTATGAGACGGTGCAGGTGAGCCAACGCGTAGTGTCGTTCTGACTCCAGGTACTAACCATCAGATCGTAAGCCCAATGACCCAGAAGTTCGGTCATATCGATCAGACCTTCCTTGGTACGCCGATCCTCCATGCACTGCAACATCTGTAGCGTTCGCTTGCTCACAACGTTGAGCATGTTTTCCACGCTGTACAAACGTCTGTGAATAGACGCGGATTTGATAGACTTCCACAAGCTTACGACGAGGCAGAGAATGCGGGAGCCCAGATCCTGCGCCGTTTGTTATGGTCCTCGCGGTCGCGTATGAAGAAGAGACCTCCAGAGTGAAACCTTCCAGGTCGGTACGCTCCGCTCTTGTCCAAACTATGTGGCGAGGCATACAGCGGCATCACTGCACTAGACGCATTGATCGACAGCGTGCTAGGCCCTATAGCCGTGATTATTCAGTGAGTGGCCCTCTATTAGCACCGTAATCTAGATCCTCACCCGTACGCACGAAAGTGCCATATTGTTCGTGCCAGTTCTTGAGCATCAAGTGCCGTTTCCCAGACCAGACGACTTGGGCAAGCTTGAGAGCCGTCACTTTGTTGATCAATGGTCCAGGGAAGGCGGCTAGCGGGTGGAACGGCGAGATGCGATACAAAACTGTCATAACGGCCATGCATCCAATGTATAGACCCATCGCTTGAGCCGCTTTAGCCAGTGTGTACACCGTATCCAAGCCTGCATAGGAGAGCAGCGATGCAGTGGACATGAACAGGATCAAGATATACGCGAGGAAGATGTCCCCTCGGACGTCGAAACGGTGCAAGTACAGACAAGTCGTCTTCACAGCGGATTTCAGTCCGTTATCCGTTAAGTGAGTGCGGAGGACGTACCAGACTCGCAGCTCCGCTGACAGTAAATAGGTTCGTGGATGTCGCGTCCGCAAAGGCCTTGACGGACGCCATCGTAAGAGGTTCGAGATTGCGCTACTACCCGCTCGAGATGAGTACGTTCGGCACCGGGGAAGGCTTTTTATAGAGGTCAGTCGTTATTTGGCTACATCTTGAACCTGCTGCGCGGAGAAACAAGTCCCCGGGAAACCCTTCCGTCCACTTCGCAGCCATCGGCTGCATGTCAATGACAGTATTTGCATTTCACATCATACGACATGAACGAGCCGCGCGGTAGTGTGTAGAACCCCTCGGACGACCGGCGTGGACTGCTCCATGTACCGAGAAGATGCGTACCTAGATGGCGCCGCAGAACATTCACTCTTCTTCATCATGCATGGAGCGCTGCTGATCGAATTCCAGGACACTAGAACTTCGCCGAGGCGTCTGTATACATGCTATACCGTGTCCTGACATGCGAATGACATTCGTTCTTCGGGATGGGTAGATAGTGTATTGATCCATGGTGGAATATGCGCTGGACTGAATCACAATGGTATTGTATGCGGTGCCGTACCGGAGTATCGCGGAGTACCGTGCAATCTGCAACTATTATGCTTGGTTTCAATTCGACATGTCAGTATATCCGGCCGTGCGTAATATCCAGACGGGCCACGGCAGGCGCACCCTGACCACCTTGGTATGAATAAGAGACGTACATTGCACCTGTCAACGGCAATTCTCCGCAACACAACGAGTCGGAAGGAAGAGGCGAGTGGCTACCTTTTCTCATGGTAGCATGATCTCCAGTCGCAGTAAGCAGTGGTAAGCCACAACTTTCCGTGCACCGGGGCAAAAGTCGTTCGATCCATTTCGGACCTTCTCGCAGGTCCAGTAATCCGATGCATGGATCACCCGCGGCTGCTCCTTTGCGAGGTTGGACGAGAAGAACGGCTCAATGAAAAGGCTGTGCCGTCAGTACAACCCCCGCTTCACCGTAATAAAGCTGTGGACAAGAATTTCAGCCTTGTGACGAGCCAATGTGATGAATTTGTACAAACGTGTTGACCGAGGCAGAAAGGTGAGCCTGCGAAAGTTTCACCGTACCAGACCACTCTTACAAGCTCAGAAGAATGTGAGCAGACGTACCGATAAACATTTTACCACCAGTAATATGTCATATCGTGCTGTATGCACTGCATTCCCTGCAAGGACACCAAGAACATTGATTAGTACATATGTGATGCCCTATCACCGCTTATCAATTGGATATGTCGTCATTGAATATAATGGCTCGAGGAGGCGCCCTGCAATTCCGACTCAATGGCAGGCAGCGCTGACAGGAGATTACCGCTAGCAGTGAAGCTTTGAAGTATTGTCGCGCAGTTTCGGGGTTATGAGGCAAGCGAGACTCCTCCATGGAAGAACAGTGCCCGCTCCGCGTGAAGCCGGTCCTCTAACAACAACCAGTGAGTCTACCGAGACGAATCGTGTCAGCTCACCACTGTGCTGGTAGCAACTGGTTCTGTCCCCCTGAGTCCGGAATGGACGACCGTCATGAAACGTCGACTCGTTGATAAGTACCTGCAAGTTGCATGGCTGAATCATGCACAAATGAGGGAAATTATACAAACCATACCTCCCGCATTACGTGTGCCTCATGCACTCGAGGGTGATGACTAGATTGCGTCCTCTTTTTCCCTCCTGCCCCTCCGTCCCTCCTGCGGCTTCGACTTCCAGCACCTGCATCAAGTTGAACAGTGAGGCCTGTGAGGCTCCGAACGCCACAAAGATGTTGCGCACGAAAAAGACAAAAACGGGGTGGCGATGCCGGAGTGTCAGAGGTCCGGTTGCCAGGGCAGATTGAATTGTAAATAAGTATTACACCTAGTACAGCCTAGTACATAATTATACCGGTACCACCGTGAATAGTAACTAAAATGCGAGTGCTATAGCCTTACACTACTTAGTAGCGCAGAAGCAAACGATTGCAGTTCATTGGCTTAGATCGTCTTCTGAGCAAGGCACCTCCGAGTCCACTGACGGACCACGGTCCCTCAGGGAGGATGGCCGAGATACCATCGGCCCGATAGTACAGTGCATCGAACGAGACAGTTTCAGACGGAGCGCACGGGGATGGGACAACTCAGTACATACATTGGCACCCAGCGCTCCTACTACAGTCATCTACCCCCTGGTGAGTCGCTACCCCCCCAGTGGGTCGACTGCCTATCGCGGGTGATAAGAGCCCGATTTGGTAATCCACATCTTATCTACTCCGAGATAACGAGGGACGCGTCGCGCGCACTGAGTCTACCGGGAGTGTCACCTCCGAGTGGGCTTAGAATCTGCATGGCTTGCAGGGCAACGAGCAATTAGTGTACATCTACCACAACGAATGTACTGTACATGAGCATGCTGTAGGGTACAATATATACATATAAGGATTAAATCAGTCCTAGTCCGACACCTCTGGTTTTGTTGTACTGTTGTAGTCTCAAAAGGCTGCTCATGTATTCGAAGTACCAGTCTGGACATTTATTCGGACTATGCATGCATTAAGACGGGTCTGTTTACATTCAATAGCCCCCAAACGGTAAGCCGCGAACATCGCGTCGGGCTTGAGAGATAAGAAGCGATCACCGGGCGTCTACATTCCCGATTTATCCTTATCACCCGCGATAGGCAATCGACCCACTGGGGGGTAGCGACTCACCAGGGGGTAGATGACTGTAGTCAACTTTGACGCTTCTCAGCCGCGAGACGCACCAGAAGATTCGTCTATTTGCGTGCGGGAACCCTGCCAGGGCCCGAAGTGAGCTACTGTGTCCGGGTCGGATGCGGGCCTAGTTCTAAACCCACCTTTCCAGTCAACGCTTCAAGCTTCACCGGTCACCGGTCACCGGTCACCGCCCAATGCCCGATCCTCATGTGGCGGAACATGTCTAGGGTGCCGTGTCAGCATGGCCTATCGACATGCGGACATCGGGTAGGTTCTTTGACGGGTCCCCGCGACAGATCTCGACGCGAATCCGATCCTCGTTGCCTCGTGCTTCGCAGTCAACTGAGCAACTACACGTCTTTAGGCAACTGTAGGTTGCGCGGGGAGAACCGTAGTAGCCCAGTCTTTTTGCCAGTAGCCACGAATTGGGATCATGCAGGTCATTGCTAATGCACCAGCATGTCCGATATACATTGCACTGATGAGTAAACATCTAACATCTATGGTACCACAACAGCCGTTGCCTTCACCAGAACATCAACTAGACTGTCTAGGACCCCATCTAGTTCGAGACAACAACCTCCTGTATAGCGACCTCTGCCTGTGCAATGTCGTGCTTGGACTCGGGCGATATCATCAGCTCCCCCAACGCCTTATCGAGCGCGCCGTCAAGTTCAGCGGTAGCAATACCACCTTCAGCCGGCTGGAATACTTTGAGGGTCTGCAAGAACTGGTCCCATTTGGCATCGCTGACAATAGGGGCCCGCACAAAGGGCGCTGCTCCCATCCCATCGATGAACCCTGCCATGACGGGAAGCGCTGCCTCGAAAGCCTCATTCTCCTTCTCCATGTGGCCGGCACGACTGAGCAGACCTGCTTCGACGTACCATGGGAGGTCCTCTTTGATCGTCTGAGAAACGAAGAGATCGACGAGCGGCTTCGGAACGCCCTCGGCGAGCGCGGCCTCGAATGCCATGCGGGCTCCGATGGCCTCCACCAGGGACAGGCAGCGGGGAAGAACGAGGGACGCAAAGGCCTTGCTGCGGTGGCCATGTGTCTTCGCGATGTCGCGGCATTCGTCGAAGAGAGCGCTTTCGTGTTTGGCGAGGATACTCTCCGGGTCCGCCGCGGACGGAAGGGTGTACCGCCCGATTAGCAGCTCGCTGGCGAGACCTGGAAGCAACCATATACGTCAAGGCACCCGTGCGAGGACGTCAAACGTCATCAACTCACGAATGGAAAGCACAAGAATATCGCCTTCGGCGATGAGATTGCCCCGGTAGTCACTCTATAGAGATGCCATGAGTGAATGAGGGCCCACAGGGCAGCATGGACAATACAGACCAGCTGCGATACGATCTGATTGTACGCAAAAAGACCTTGTGCCCCACACCGCTCAGAAAGCGCGAGGTGCAGATTCTGACACTGACGCATCGTCGTCGCCTTGAAGATCGTAGCAGCCGCATGTCTCGCGCGAGGATCGACTGTCGTGTCCGCGAAGAGCAGAACGATGTGCTTGCTGAGTGCTTGCAGGACGTACACCTGCGCCGCCGCGTAGAAGATGGGCATCTGCTGCGTGCGGAACGAGATGATGGGCAGCGGCGCGCCGTCAGGGCCGCCGATCTTGCGGCGGACGGAGTACTTGAATGCGATGTGCGTCGCGATCTGCAGCCCGGGGATGGTGATCGAGCTCAGGGAGAGTGTGCCGACGGCGACCCGCCAGATCTGGGTAAGGAAGTCTTGGTGAGCCGAGTCCGACTTCTCGAGGCGGCCGAGCAGGGCGGAGGAGGGCAGCGTGACATGCTCGAACCGCGTTATGGCGTGGTTGACAGGCGCAGCTCCGTGACGGGTAGGTACGAGCCTGCGGTGTCGATGTCATTGGGCACGACGGTTTGAATAGATGCGAAGAGACTTACTGAGCGGTGATGCCTTTGGACATGGTCTTGCCGTCGTTCAAAGTGACAAGGAAGGGACGTATCCCTCGCTTCTCGCCGTCGACAACAAGCTGCGCGAATACCACCGCTACACAAGGACGGCCAAGCACCGGAATGGTGG